TCCATGAGGGTGATTTGGGTCCTCCCAATCGCTCTTTGAGGAAATGGTATCATCCACATTTGTATTGAGGCCCTGAGGTGTGGAGAGGGCACCTGACATGCCTAGGACCACATACCCAGGAGAGAGCTGAGCCTGAGCTTGAGCCCGTATTTTACTCCTAAAGCTGTGCTTTCCAAGCCCTACCATGTGGGCCGTATGCCAAATATTAAATGTTGACCCAAGCTAGCCAAACCTCTGCCTGCCTCCTCCACACATCTGTGTGCTCTGATGGCAAACACGTCCTCAAATCTCTTGTTCTCTAAGAGACCTTCATGGAAGTAGAAAGGGGAGCTTTCCTGGCCCTGCCCTGCCTAGAATTAGAACAGGCCAGGAGTCGTCCCCACCTTCCCGTTTCTTGTTCACTCATTCCTGTCCTGTTCCCCTCCCCGCTGACACCCAGCATAGGCCACCCAGTGTGGACCTGGCAAAGACTTCAGAAAACACAACAAAGCCTTTTGTATCGGACTTTACACTTTCAGAGGAGTTAACAAACATTACCTCTTTGATCCTCCCATCAGTACGGAGAGAAAGGATGGACACACATGCTCCTTTCGCAGAGGAATAAAGCAGCCGCCCACCATGCACCAGGCATTGTGCTGGAGCTGGGCTGGTGACAGAAGGATGAGTAAGGTGCTGCCTTTTTCCCATGGAGTTTAAGGTCTAATTGGGAAAACAGATGACAGTCTCAAAAGTTAAGGGACTTGTTTTGAGAGTTCCCCAAAGTTATGGTCTCCTGAATAAGGAATCACAAATAAAAATAGATTCCACAGCACACACCTGCTAAAGTAGATCCCAGGTTGGAGACTCTGGTGATTCATAGGCTGTTTCACAGCTAGTAAGTGATCCGATTGAGATGTGAGCCTTCTGGCGACGCTGCTGGAGACTTTCCCACTCCGTTTGTCAGGGCCCTGGCTTCGCTGACGAAGGAACTGACAACCTGCAGAAGTCAAGTGGGCGGTGGCCCAGGGGCCCCCAGAGAGTTGGAGACAGAACTGGGATTAGCAACTGAATTTCCCTGATTGCCAAACCCAGCCCTGTTTTTCAACACTGTCTAAAGTTGTTAACTGCACTCTGGTTCTGACTGAAACTGCTTTTATATGGTCTGTACCCTTTTTTCTTTGTCTTCAAACATGTAAGCTCTTGGGGAGCCATTATGTCATTCTTTCAGCAAGGGTTGTTTGCAAACAGGCCTCTTCCCTTTACTGTAGTGCAGGCCTAGCAGGCTGTTTGCCAGCCTCAGACTCTGGGGAAAATTAGACCTAGAGGCAGAATCCTTGGAAAGATAGGGTGCCAGGAGGCTCCTTAAAGCTCCACCCTGGTAGATAAGGGAAACCAGACCGTATAAGATCAGTTCAGGGTTCAGTGAGTGTGGACGTTTATCTAGCACTAAGGTCCTGGCAAGGTAGCTCTTTCCTGGGCAGTTGGGTTTTGATTCTAGAACTCCTGCTTTATCCATTACAGGAAGCAGTCACACCTCTACTCTGCTGCTCCTGGCTTTGGGAAGGGGCTCAGAAATACTACTTTGCCCAGACTGAAGACGCAGCCTATGTACAGTGTGCTTTTTCATATTTATATATATAATCTATCATGTGTGTTATATATCTTTAAATACATATATAACATATATTATGTGTCTCGTTTATATCGTGTTATATAATATGTGCTTGTGTGAGAATATGTATAATATTTATGTACATCTGTTGTGTGTATGACTATGTATGTATGTAAAAAAGAAAATAGGAGAGGTGGTCCAGTAGAAACCAGTTAGAGCTACATATGGCCATAGGTCACATAACTTCTTATTTATGCACAGCTTAAGTCCACTTACTTAACCTCTCTGTTCACTCATCTGAAAATGGGGGTAAACTACCTATCTCACCAGGCTTTTGTGATGATTAAATGAGGTACTATTTTGCCAGATGTTGAGCACAGTGCTGGTAGGTGGCAAAAACTTCATAACTGTCATCACAGAACAGGGATATTCCATGCCTGTTCCTCATTTACAAATTGGCTATGGGACCAGGAACTTCTTGATGAGGGGGCTGATACCACCCATCTTCAACCAGTTGTCACCAGAAGAGACTGTAAGCACAGTGGTGCCAAAACTCCTGCCTTTTCAAAGAAACCAGAGATCTGTGTTTTTTTAATGTGAAATTGCCTGACTTTCAATTTCTAATTAATAATGTTAAAATATATACACGTTCACACACAAGCATACCACAGGCCAGCAAAACAGCTGTCTGGACTGGTTACCAGTTTCCAACACTGCTATCTGGAAGGTCACACCAGGCCTTTCCTTGCTTTATCCTGCGTGCTCTAGGCTCGGATGAGGAGGGCGTGTAAGGCGAGCCCTTACTGAGTGCCTGTTCTGTGCCTGGTGCGTGTAAGGCGAGCACTTAGTGCCTGTTCCGTGCCTGGTGCTGCTCACAGCAGGCGGGGAAGTGCGTGCTGTGAGCTCTGCCCCCTAGCGGAGAGGCAGGACTCAGGCACTAGGTGAGGGAGCGATGTGGGAGGGAACGTGGGTGTCAGAGGGGGGCCCATTGTGCAGAAAGGGATGAGGAAATGGAAGATTCCTGGGAACTGATACGGAATTACATTGAGGCCATATTAAATGAAAAAAGCAAAATGTTAAAGCTGTAGGATACCACCTGTCATGTAAGCAAGAAAGGAAAATAAGAATATTCAAGTGTATTTGCCAGTTTTACAAGAAGAAACACAGAAAGGAAACCAAAAATGAACAAAAATGGTTACTTGGGGAGGAGTAGGGGAAGGGGTAAGGACGCTTCTGAATGTACTTTTAAAACTTCATTATGAGTTATGTTTAAAAAAATTAAAAAATTGAACAAGTAAGGCTGAAAAAAGCAAACCCTAAACATGAAGTACAAATAGAAGAAGAAACCTAAATGCATTTCAAGTTGAAAACCTGAAAAAGAATTAATTTAGAGTCACTTCGACGCACAGTACTAACTGGATTCCCTTTGCCGGAATGTGGTCTGAGGACAGCCAGGACAGGGAATGAGCAAACGGGGTCATTTGAAGAAAGCCAGAAGTCGTAGCTTCCAGTTTTCCGTCTTGTCTGGCTTATAAATGAAGTAATGGGGAAGAGAGGAAGAGAGCATCCCGGAAGGAGGAACCGAGTGGGCAAAGATAGAAGCCAGAAACCACAGCAGGTGAAGGGAGAAAGTAGACAGCAGGGACCGGAATAGGATGGGGCGGCCATTGATTCAGGCACAGGGCGTCGCTCAGCACCACCCATTGACCACACAGCCCACCTGAGGAGTACTGCGGACCGGGGAGCTCGCAGCTCCCTTAGGTGCTCGCACCGCAGTGAGGATGCTGGGGGCTGTGGGAGACATGGGGGGCGCTGACCGCACCGGCAGTGCTTGCTGTCGACGCCACGGCTAATAGCCTAGCTTGAAGACAAGACCACCTCCCCTCCAGGACAGTAGGGAAGCTCGGAAAGGTTTTTTTTTTTTTTTTTTTGCTCAGAAAGGTTTTAAGCAGCAAAATGACAAGGGTAAATTGTCATCTTAGTAAAATCACTGCTGCGTTGAGGCCAGTTTAAACCCCTGGGTCTTTCTTAGCGCAGTTGTGGTTTTTCTTTTGAACCAACCATGTCCAGTGTCCTGTCTGGTCTATGTCCTGTTTTGTTTTTCTTTCTTCCTCCTTTCCTGCATCGCTTTCTCCTGGGCCCCATGCTCTCTTCTTTCTTGATGCCCTTCTCTGATCCAAAGATCAGCCAGTAAAAAGCAGTCTCACCTGTCCAGGTAAGGGTGTCAGGGTGAGGGGGAAGAAGACCCCTCCCCTTTTCAGGTTGAGAGCTCTCTATTTGTGTTGGAGCATATGTATTTGAGTAGATGCCACCTTTACATGATTCGGAATTTAAAGGGTACAAATGAGAATATAATGAAAAGCTTCTAACTCTATGCCTGTGCCCTACACACCCAGTTTCCTTCCTGTACTTAGAGGCAGCCTATGGTATGATTCTTTTGTGCCCTTCCGGAGATAGTGTAGATATTTTAGGCATATGTAAACAAATATATAAACAAATAATTTCCTTTTCCTCTTTCACCCACTTCTTCCCATCCACATTATCCTGCATCTTGCTTTTTTCACCCCACATGTCCTAGATACCATCCCTTATGGTACATAAAGAGCTTCCTCGTTCTTTTCTGCGGCTGAATAGTGTGTCTTTATATTGATATACTATAATTTATTTAACCAGTCAGCCACTGGGAGCATTTAGACTTAGATTCTTTCCAGGTTTTGCTTCTGCAAGCAGTGCTTCTGTGAATAACCTTCCACATAGTCATCTGCTATGGGTGTGGATAGGAGCCCCCCTCCTTGGAAGGGCAGGACTGTTCAGAAGGAACTGGAGACATGTACACTTCTCCAGAAAGGAGCATAGCAGAGGTTGGAGCTTCTGTTACTGCAGGGGTCCTGTTAAGGAGAAGTCAAGCATTGGTGCAGTAGCCTGCAGTACCGTGACGTTTTAGGGTCTTACTGGTCCCTAAACAAGGTGCCTCAGGCTGGCTATAGGAATGGGGCTGAATGTGGGGTTGGAATATTACCTCCAAACAGACCAGATTCCTCTTTTCCCTTGGTACCCACAAAATAAATAGAATTTGGGGGGGCTTGGGCCATTGCTGTGCCCCTCCTTTATAGAAAACTCAGAGTTGCTAGTTAGCCAACAGGTGGGTACCAAATGCCCGGTTACACTCCTAGAGATGCTGTTTCAGAGAGGGACAAAGGTTAAGCTAAGGTGGGGGCACTGTCTGCTGCGGCCACTGTGGTCCTCTGCTGCGTTCATGCAGGCCTTTCTCTGTTTTTGACCCGCCACATCCTTGCCCTTCAGTCTCCCCTTCCTTTGCAAATCATTGCCTAAAACTAACCAGCTTTTTGTTTTCTTCCTGTCTTTTTCTTGCATTCATTTCCTCGGCTGCTCCGTTCTGTTCCATCAGCCCCATTGCAGCCTGGTAAGACCAACAAGTATGTGTAATTGTGCACATCCCGTTCTTGCTGTTGTCTCTTTGTCTCCTGACTCCAGGAAGGGCTATTGCCTTTCATGCCTCTTGATATTGCCCTGCCAGCCTAGGATCACAGATAGGTGGTACTGGTATTGCCAGTGGTGTAGACATGGCTAATCTCCCACCAGATTAGCAGGTTATAGGGTGAGAGGGTTGGTCTGACGGTACCCAAGGCTCTGGGCCCCTGTTGACAGAGCTTCCTCCACTCCATGGCTGGTCCCTCCTGGCCCAGCTAACTGATGTGCTCCTCTTACTCCTCCAGGTTGAGTAGCCTGTCCTTGGGAGATTCGGCACCCGATCGCAAGTCCCCTTCCCACCACCGCCAACCCTCTGACACCTCTGAGACAGCAGGTAACCTTCTCCTTGGGGCATTAACACAGCATAGACAGGTCCATATACCCCAGATGTAAAACGACTTAGCTGTTACATTGCACATAATTTGTGCTAGACATTGTGTTACGTGTTTTATATAAATTGCCTCATAGAGTCCTTATATCAACTGTAGAAAGTAGATTTTGTTATTCCTATTTTACAGATGAGGAAGCTGAGGCACAGAAGGATTAAAAATCTTGTCCCAGTGCACAGTCTTGTAAGGGACAGAATCAGGAACCTGAAGCCAGTTGGGTTTTACTTCTAGAACTCATGCTTTATCCAATACAGGAGGCAGTCTCACACCTGAGGGTATCTAGGACACACAGGAATGGAGACAATTGGGAATTACATCTCTCTTTCTTTTTTTTCCTGTGTTCTATATATGGATGTACATGTGGAAAAGGAGGTTTTCTTTTGTCACTTATCCTTCCCTGGATTTGGCGATCCAGGGTCACCCCATGTGAGTTATCCAGTCTGCAGAATCAACCAGCACTGGGGTGCCACCTGCTGCATTCATTGAACGTAATTTGACAGAATACTCCCAGCCTCACTTGGGCTTCAGTCCAGGGCTGCTTCTCTCTGATACTGGTCTTCAGCTGGACTCAGCCCTGCCCCTTCTTGGGTCAGTCCCACCCAGACAGACCTAAAGAGAGAGACCATGTACAAGAGAGACAGACACCTCAGTACCTCGGAGAAGGGTGATTTTGGCATGGATACAAAGTAGTAGGTAACTGGTTTTTGTTGGTCCCCGAGGGACACATGTCATTATGATAGTCTGTTTGGACAGGATAAATCTGGGAAACCCGGTTAGTCTGGAAAGACTTTCGAGAGAAGGAAAGCCCTGGGCTTTTCACGGCTGGTCCTGGCTTGTCTGCACTAAGCTTCCAGTGACAGCGCCCACCTAACCCCCTTTCTCTTTCTCCCTCTTACCAGGTCTTGTTCAGCGCTGTGTCATCATCCAAAAGGACCAGCATGGCTTCGGTTTCACAGTCAGCGGGGATCGCATCGTCCTGGTGCAGTCCGTGCGGCCTGGTGAGGGTTGCATCCTGCCCGCCTGCAGTGGTCTGTTCTTACATTGCAGCCATGCATGGGACAGTACTGCATGCCTTGGAGAGTGGGCATGTGCTTTCTCTGGAGGCCTGGGAAGTTCTGGGCATGAAAGAATGACTCTAGAACGGATTGCCAGGGGTGTCTGGGCAGGTCTCCACAGTGCTAAGCCACGAGGCAGAATTTCTAGGGATTATACTTCTTGTTTGTTTGCTTCCCCGCTGGGAAGTATAAAAATGGCAGAATAGTTCTCAGGTCACCAGGCAAATGCCTGATTGCCCTCCAAGAGAGCCTCAGGTGTCCAAGAGATCCAAAGATGCTCTGGAGGAATCAACAACCTGCTTTTGTCCTACCTGTCTTCACGTGGCCTTGCTCAGTGCTCAGACGGTCCCTATTCTGCAGCAGTTGTCAGTTTGAGACAGACACACCAGCCCAAAGGAACATCTACATTCGCGGATACAATTAACATGAAATAACAAGTTAACAAAAGCTAAATGACATGTGTTGGACAACACATGGGAAGAAATGGCGTTTGGGGTAGTTGTAGTTCAAGGCATAGTCATTTCCCTTCTGATCAGTTGTGGAGCCTTCTTAGAAGATAGAGGATTTTAGGAGTAGTTTGAAAAATGGAAATGAAAGCACTTGGGCAGGATAGGAATTTGCGGGAAAGGGAGTAAAGAGTGGGAGGGCATCATGAGCAAATGATCAAGTAATGAATTATGTATGAAAGAGCTTCAGGTATTTTGAAACACTGTCATATGCTGGGTGGTAGGGTCATTGCTGTGAGGTGGCCCGGGCTGAAGCAGACAGTCAGGAAGGAGATGGGAGTGGGGAGAGTTTAAAACAGGTGCCCCTAAAAAGAGCGAACTTCAGTGTAGCCAGTGAAACTGGGCTTGGTGACATGGAGCATCAGAGATTCGGCTTGAAGAGTACAAGGGAAGAGGTAGGAACAGGCTGGCATGTCACACTAGATACAGCACAAAATGGGGAGAACAATATACTTTAAGTAGTTCTGGAGAAACATTTGGGAAAGGTTGAAAAGAGAATTTCATACTTAGGACCAAAGGGAGTTATATGAATCATTCAGGGATCTTTATAATTACATTTTCTCATGGGAGTCAACTTTTATCAGTGGTAGGTTTGTCTTTCGTGTCCTAGGGTAGAGCTGTGAAAAGATACTTTTATTCTTTGCTTCCTTTATTCGCTCAAGGTTCCTAGACTAGGTTGAGACAGAAGCTGGTGGGCTGCCAACGCCTGCACGTAGTGTGGTCTGCCTGCTGCAGACGGTAGGAGGGCCCCTCAGTGAGGTGCAGGGTCGGTCTCCTTCACTTTCTCCTCCTTTAGGCCTGAGCAGACTCAGACCCAGAGAGGAAACAACAAAGGGTGGCCTGTGGTAAAATAGGAGCTTTGAGAAGTGTGTGTCTGTATGTGTCTTTGGGGAGGAGGAGAGAATGGACTGGCATTGAAATCACAAGAGTGACAAAGCGGTGCTTTACCATCTTTCCCAAGTATTGGGTTTCTCTAGTTCACTGTTTCTCAGAGCATGGTCTGTGTTCTGCCGCATCGGCGTCACCAGGACCCAGGACAATTGAAGTCCTCATTCCTGAGCCCGACCCTGAAGTGCTGAATCACTTTCTGGCAAGGAGGGCAAAAAACACAGTCTGTAACCCATTCCCCTGGTGACCCTCAGGTTCACTGAAGCCTGAGAGCTCCTGCTCTGACTCCTTTACTATGAAGAGTTGGGTTTTTTTGATCGCTAAATTATTAGAAGTCATCTCGTGTGTTCCATACATTCAGGCAGGATCGCGCTTTCCTCTCCACCTTTAGTTTCTGGATGACTGTTTAAGAGAAAGTTCCCAGCTACGTGCAAGTGCTCTTCCATAAATAGCATACTTCAGATGAGGGTAGTCTTGAGGCCCAATATTGAAAAGCTGAATTTGAATGTAGTCATCACTGTAATCGCTCTTTTTAGGCTAGAAACATCTAGATGTGCCTTGTGGGAGTTGTGTTTTGATCAGATGAATGCAGCTTACAGATTTAATGATCATCTTGGGACAGATTTACAAAAAACATAATTTTTATGCTTCTCATTAACTTGTTTCAGCTTTAGTGGTTCTTATGCTTCCTGGATACAGATTAAACTGAAACTCTTAAGTCATTTAAACTGCACCGTGGTCAGAACCACCAGAGCCACCAGCTGAGTGACAGCCTAAAAAGGCTGAGAGCGCGCTCTGAGCTCCTCTCAGCTGCAATCAGAAGCTCTTACTCTGGTCCCTTTTACAGTGAGGAACTGCAGGTAGCCTAAAACAACTTCTCAATGGAAAATAAAACAGTTATTATTATCTTTAATGATATGAGTTGCCAGAATAGCTTTGTGAACCTCTCAGGGCTTCGGAACCACGGTTTGAAAACTCTTGCTTTAATCCCTTCCTCCATAGTCCTCTTAATAATTATTATTATGTTAACAATTATACTTAATACAGTAAACTCATTCTTCCCACTGGATAATAAGCAAGAACTCTGTTTGACCTCAGAACACATCAGACACATTCAGATAAAGCACACGTACTCTTCCCAGAACCCTGCCTCTCTCCCTTCCTGGCCTGGTCGTCAGAAGTCCAGCATCTGAGCTAGGTGGAGGAAAGGGCAAGTGATGTGATGTAAGCTAAGTCCACTCCAGCTTAAAGCTAATTGCGTCACTGGAGCAGCAAGGATGTACACCCAGCATTTAAGGTACTTAACACAAAGACATGAGAAGAAATTGGGGCAGGGGGCAGTGATCTGACCGAAACTCTGGTAGAGATTCAGTGACCTCTGGGGAAGATTGTTGGGCCCTGCTGACCAGGCTTTCTCCTTATAGGAGGTGCAGCCATGAAAGCCGGTGTGAAAGAGGGCGACCGGATCATCAAAGTGAGTCCCCTTCCCTCTCCACCCCTCCCCAGAGGAGACAGGGACCCAGGGTCACCTCTGGCCTCAGCCCACGCTGCACACTTCCGTTTTGATACCAGCTGTCAGTCAGCCACTGGGTTAGGGGTGGGTACCATGAGTGTGTACACAGTGGTAAAGTGGGGACTAAGATAGCTGGGTCTACAGTCTGGGCTCTTCTTGATTCTAAAGTAGCCAGGCTTCTAGAGTAGGTTTTATTATTCCCATTTCACAAATAACAAAAATAAGATAAGAGGGAGAAATTGAGACTAGTGAAGGATCCAACGTGTTTGGTAAGCTAGCCTCTATGCAATGCTGACCTGAGGACCTTGCCAGTGCTAAACTGCTATAATATGTCTGCACTGTTCATTCGGCACCTTCCTCTGCAATACAGAGTCCTAGGTGCATTAAGGAAATCTCAGAGGAGACTTCTTAGTCCTTTAGTGAGGAGGAAACACACTGGGTCAGTTGACAACTAATGATTGAAAAAGTGTATGCCAAAAAATAAATAAATGAATAAACCAACAGTTGATTGAATAATGAATAAACCAACAGTTGATTGAATAAAGCTGCAGATCTTATCCCTGGAAATCTGTAGGCTAGCTGGGAAGACAGAATGCATATAGCAGGTGTGAGCAGGAACAAATTCATAATGTGAATATGAGTAAACAGGTGACCAGAGGTGGCTAAAGAGCATTGGAAAGTGGCTTCCTAAAGGAGTGGCATTTGGAACTTGTAGAAGGATCCCCTAGGTTTCCCTTCACCATTGCTCAATGACATTCCCCCAACAGGTGAATGGCACCATGGTGACCAACAGCTCACACCTGGAGGTGGTAAAGCTTATTAAATGTAAGTTGGAGAGAGCTGACCGCTACAGAAAATGGGGGAGCCAATGGGCTGGGAGGGAGGAGAAAAGAGTGGGCCTATCCACCCCGGAGCTTCCTTTGTAGATGTGTGAGACGTAGCCTGTGTCACGTGTGATTTTGGCATGGAATGATCCACTCAGACTGCCACAATTCCCTATTATTTCAAGTGGAGATACTGCTAGTTCTCATCTGACATCTTTGTTTTCACACGTATCTTCACACTCCCATTTAGACCATATCCTACTCGACCAGGTCTCATTCAAATACTGTTTGCCCCCCTCTGCCATCCGTGGACATTCTTCTTCATTTTGGGAGGAAAAGCAAAACTTCTGTTGGCTGCCAGGAAGACCCAGCAGTTACATGCGCTCGGGTTTTCAAACAGAAGCAGCAGAGGTGAAGAACAGATTAAAGGGTGCAGGGACTCTGGGGCAGGAGGGAGGCTGGAATCTGAGGGCCTGCTCTGTGTCAGGCCAGCAGCAGGCCAGCGGCTGGCACCAGCTGCAGAGGAAGCAAGGGACTGATCAGGCGGCCCCTCGGGATTATTCCCAGCTATTTGTAGGTGGGATTTTGGTGAGGTCTCTGCATGAAGAAAGGGAAGGAAGAGAGACTTGTGTTGCTGCAGGATGGGCAGGCAGGACTTACAGAAAGGGTGGGCCATGAGAAATGCGGAGGCCTTTATCTACAGGATTACAGACTTGAGAGGAGAAGGGAAAAGAACTACCCCCATGTAGCTTGAATGTCTTGTGTCTAGAGCAGAACCCCTTGAGCAAGCCTCTCTCTGTCTGTCCTCCTCCAGCTGGTGCCTATGTTGCACTGACCCTCCTGGGCTCTTCCCCCGCATCTATTGGTGTCTCCGGGCTCCAGCAGGACCCAGCCCCAGCAGGGGCCCCCCGAGTCACGCCCGTGCTCCCACCACCACCACCTCCTCCAGCTCTGCCACCGCCGCAGCGCATCACGGGGCCCAAACCGCTGCAGGTAATGGTCCTCCTGCTCCTCAACTTGCTCTCATGTCCCTTTGAAGAGCCCCCTGGTGACAGGAAGGCAGGGTAAGTTGAGGTGTGCTGGTAAGCAGAGACAAGCCAAAAGGTGAACAAAATGAGGGCCGCATTAAAGGGGTTGTTGCGTGCCTCACGTGCTCCTTCCACATAAATGCACATATTTCAGAGACATGCAGAGTTTCTTAAATGTGTGGAGGATACTCAGGAGGCCCTCGGAGAGAGTGCGTCTGGGAGAGGATGCACACACCCACACGTGGACCCAGGCTCTGTTAAAGACTGGGGCCGGGCATCCTTACAAGAGCGTGGAGTGAACCAGGGAGTAAGGGAAAGGCTTCCTGGGGAAAAAGGCTGCCCAAAGGGATGAAATACGGAAACCAGGCTGTAGGGGAAGAGTCAGGAAAGAACAAAACCAGCAGGGAGAGAACACGGGGGCCAGGGTAAACCTGTGCGAGGTGTTAGAAGAGGACAAATGCAGATAGAAAGCAAGAACAGGGTTTTCTGTTTGGAAAGAAGACTGAGCCAGCGAGTCCTGGGAGACTGGAGAGAGCAGCTTGATAGCAGAGGTGATCACAGCCAGGGCATCTAGGAGGCGAAGGAGGAGAATCCAGGTGAGATCGTGTGTTTACAGGAGAGGCCCTGAGTGTTAGGCAAAGCATGTCCTGGACCCAGGTTCCCCCATCACCTTTCCTGCCGGGCATCAGCAGGTGGAAGGGAACAAGCTGGGGATCTAGCCCCCAACTCTCACTCCTGTCATGTTTTCCGTCCTCAGGATCCCGAATTTCAGAAACATGCCACCCAGATCCTTAGGAATATGCTGAGGCAGGAGGAAAAGGAGCTACAGGTAAGGTCAGTGCTGGGGGCAGACCGGCCATCGCCTCAGTGAAATAGCACTTGGTCAGGACGGTCTGCCCATGTGCACAACTCAACTTACAGCCCTATCTGGGCAGGAAAACCTCAAAAAGTAAGACTTCAGGACCGCTAAATTATTGTCATCCTTCAGTAGAACTTGTTACAAAAGCAGAATTTGGCTGGCTTTGTGGATAGGGTAACAGAGCTCATGGATAATACATTAGGATAATGAAGATGTAGACAAAATACAAACAGTAATGAGACAAGTAAAAGAAAATGAGGGAACGTTTGAACTGAGGAAAATCAAGTCAGTTGGACTGGATCTTGGGGGTCTCTGGGGAAGGGAAAGCAAGAGGGGAGGCCGGTGGGGGTGGGTAGGTGAATGCCAGGCCAGGCTGATGGGGGTGGGAGGGTGGGGGTGCTGCTGACAGGAGATGCAGAGAGATTTCCAGGCCTGGGGAATGATGTGCATAGAAAACAAGAAGATTCCTCTCCTCAGCTGGAGAGGAATAACCAGGTTCCTGTAATCGTTGTAACTTACAGAAAGCGCCTCACTCCTTCACTTCAATTCAGCAAATTTCTGTGAGTGCCCACTGTATGGAAAACATTGTTTTCATTCCTGTGGTGTATAGAGATTTTAAAAAAACCAGGAAGTTCTTGCCCTCGATATACTTAAAATCTAATGGGGAAAATTCATATTACAGTTGTAGAGAGAGCTGAAGGAACAAAGGGGTTGCAATAAGAACAAAGAGCAGTTAATCATGGGAAATGTGGGGAGAAACTTCACAGAGAGGACTGTACTTCCACTGGGCCTTCAGGAGTGGGACTTCTCTGAGCAAAAGAAATGGGGGGGAGTAGTAGTGAATGGGAACATTCCATAGGTTCGGATGGATCAGTGCTAATATGAAAATACATCCACTGGTTTAACAGGCAGTGAGTTCCTGCTGTATGGTAGGTACCATGTGTATGTTCTGGGGGATGGTACTGTTGGCAGAGAGGGGTAGATGGTGCTGGGGCAAAAGTTGGAGTGGTTACGTTTGATAAATGAGAAGATGAACCTTTCTTTCAGGAGTTTGTAATCCAGTAGGCTATCAATGGATAAAGATATACTACATCATAATGAGTATATTATATACTGACAGATGCCATAGAATGATCAATACAGTGTGATACTGGTATAAGGACAGACCTGTAGATCAATGGAATAGAATTCAGTCCGGAAATTAACCATACATCCCTGGTTAATTGACTTTTGACAAAGGTGTTAAGATAATTCAGTGGAGAAATAATAGCCTTTTTAACAAATGGTATTGGGACAACTGGATATCCACATGCAAAAAATGAATTTGAACTCCTGCCTCACATAATAAACAAAATATAACTCAAAATGGATCAAAGACTTAAGTAAAAGAACTAACACTATTTTTAAAAACTGTACAACTCTTAGAAGGAAACCTTTGTGACCTTGGACTAAGAAATGGTTTCTTAGATAGGACACCAAAAGCACAAACAACCAAAAAAGGTAAATTGGACTTTATCAAAAGACACTATCAAGAAAGTAAAAAGACAGCTCACAGGATGGGAAAAAACATTTTCAATTCATATACCTGATAAGGGTCCAGTATGAGAATATGTAATGGAGTTTTAAAACTCAACAGTAAAAAGGTGAATAACCCACTTTAAAAGTTGGCAAAGGATTTGAATAGACCAGCCAGTAAAGAAGACAAGCAAATGGCCATAGCACATGAAAAGATGCTCATGATCATTAGTCATTAGGGCAATGCACATCAAATTAGAGCGAGATAACCACTGCATGGCCACAAGGATGGCTAGAGCCAAAATACCAGAAAGTAAGTTGTTGATGAGAATATGGAGAAATCAGAGAAATACTTATTTGTATTTTGCCTGTGTATTTGCTGTCCTAATCTATTCCCACCATTGATGGTGAGAATGTAAAATAGTGCAGTCACTGTGGAAAACAGTTCAGCAGCTCTTCAAAATATTAAACACAGAGAAACAGAGATGACCCTTCAGTTCCACTCCTAGGTATATACCCAAGAGAATTGAAAACATAATTTTTTACAAAAACCTGTGCATGATCATTCATAACAATATTATTCACAGTAGCCAAAAAGTTGAAACACCCCAACTGTCTGTCAGCTGATGAATAGGTAAACAAAAGGCATACATCCATACAGGGGGCTCCTACTCAGCCATGAAAAAGAATGAACTACTGATACATGCCTCAAATGGAAGAACCCTGGAACATTATGCTGAGTGCAAGAAGCCAGACGCAAAAGGCCGCATACTGTATGACTTCACCGATGTGAAGTCCAGAATAGGCAAATCCGTAAAGACAGAAAACAAATTAGTGGTTTCCAGGGAGTGGAAACCGGGAGAACCTGGGAGTGACTGCTTTCTTATTGGGGTGATGCCAACATTCTGGAATTAGTGGGGGTGATCAACAGCTCTGAATATACTAAAAGCCATTGAACAGTACACTTTAAAATGGTGAAGTTTATATGAATTATATGTCAACAGTAATTTTTCAAGTATTTCTTTTAAATGTCCAAAAGAAGGAATATTCACACAATAATCAAAAGGCTTCATGAGATGAAATCTGAGTTGGGCTTCGCTCTGGGAAGTGCTTCGGGCCCTGAATACCATGACAAGCTTGACTTCATTCGGAAGACAGTGGGAATCGATGAGAGGATCCTGAGTAGCAGAGCGATCCCGCCTTCGAATCAGTGTTCTCTCCGGAAGTGTGTTAAGTGGATTGACAGAAGGAGACCATCTAGGAGGCTGTTGCAGTAGATAGATAAGAAATGATGACACATTTAACAGGAACAGTAGGGGGAAGGGCAGAAAGACAGGGGTGGCAGTGGGGAGACATCTCAGAGTAGAATTTATCACCTTGGGGGGAGATGAAGAAGGCAGAGTCAAAGGCAGCCCTCAGTCTGGGTGTGGATAGATGTGTGCGACGTTGATGGAGTAGGACGGAGGAGAGGGTGGCATCCAAGGGCAAGGAAGGAAGGTAGGTCTGCTTTGAGTGTACTGACTTGAAGGGGTCAGTGGGACAGCCAGGTAAACAGACTGTCCACCAGGCTTAGGGAGATAACAGGGCTGAGCTTCCGGAGAAGAGGCTGGGAGGAAATAAAGATGTGGGCGTCCTCAGCATAAAGGTGGTGGTTGAAACTGGGGACTAGATGATGTCACCTGGGCATTAGTGCAAAGAAGAGGAGAAAGTGGAGGAGGGGATATGGAAACCTAGGTGCTTCTGTGGCACCTAACGTCACAGCAGTTGCTGTTGTATTTGTATTTTAATTATTCGTCCTTCTCCCCTATGGAAATAAATTCCTTAAAGGCAAGGACCAAGCTCTTATCTCTACCTTAGCATATCCCTCCTGCGCCTCTGGCACCAGGCCTGGCAGGAGTCCGCTCTCTGTGAGTGCGTGTGGGACCGAGGACTCACCAAGGTTAAGAGAGGAGGCCAGGATAGAGCCGCAGGGGTGGGCAGGGGTGCGAGGAGCCCCGGGACAGTCAGGAAGTCACGGGAGGGCAGTGCTCTGAGAGGAGAGCACTCAGAAGGGGCCTGGAGAGGTGTGGGCTCAGAGCAGCACGCTGGGTTTGGCAGTTTGGCCACTGGGCTCTTTGAAGGAGTCCATTTGCAGAAACGGGGAGGAACAGGTTGTGCCTACTGAGGACTGACTGGCAGGCCACAGCGTCTGGGCTCTAAGTTAGACCCCCAATTTGAAACACGGGGCTGGAAAAGGGAGGAGGAAAGACTGAGGCAGTGGCTTGAAGAAATTCAGAGCTGGTGGGAAGGGTGTTGGTGCTACAGCCTTCTGTTTTAAGGCAGGAAACCTGAGCCTTTCCGTAAGCTAAGGGCAGGGAGCCATTGGGAAGAGGAGACTGTGAAGATGTGTGAGCAGCGCCTAAGAAGGGCCCCAGGCAGCTGGAGGCGTTAGCACTGGGGAGGCATGCGTTCTCAGGGACACTGAGGGCACTGTCTGCTGAGACTAGGGGGAGTGTTGGGGTCTTGATAGGCAGGAAAAGAAAAGTGAGGCGTTTGTGAAAACAGGGTTAGCAGGCCGTAGCAAGGCCCCAGGTGAGCTTGGAGAGTATGCACCCCCAACTTTATTTAATTATTTAACCAGCCAGCTCTATTGAGCATTTTCTTTCATAGTAAATAATACTAGCTGCCATGTATTAAGTCATGTGATTATGCACCAGGCATTCTGCTAAGCACTTCACATATGAAGTCTCATTCAGATCTTGCAGCCATCCCAGGAGGCAGTATGGTCATCTCCATTTTATCCATGAGGACATACTAAAGCTTGCCCAGGCTACACAGCTAGTAAGTGGGGGGTAGGGGGCAGAATTCAAAGCCAGGCCTCTGACTGCAAAGCCCCAGACATGTGCAGCACTCTGCTGCATGCTGCAAGGAGGGCTGGATAGGTGGCAGAGGGCTTCCCAGGCAGACGGCTGGGCAGGGGTCCTGGCTGTCTGCGCCTGTGCCTCTTCCTCTGGTGTCCTGTGGGTCTCACTGTGTGTAAGTTCCCGCTTTGGCCCTTGTCTGTGTGCTGGTCTGGACAGTCACTTAAGTATAGCCCTTGAGTGACAGGCAAGGAGGAGCTCACTTAGAAGGTGGGACCTAAGCCAGGCCTTGAAGGGTGGTTTGGATCAGCGCAGGCCTTTGTGTCGTGTCTTCTCCAGTTGCCTCGTGTGTTCTGTTGATCAGCGTTTACACCTTTCTCTTCTAAATGATGGCGAAGTATCGTGCATCTTCTAGAAGGCAGAGCTCTCTCCTCTGTCCTCCTTGTTGTGGGATAACTGCCTGTTGTCAGCGCTGGTGAGTCGTCCATTCTCTACTAACCACCCCTTCTGCCTTTTCCCCTCCCTCCTGTCCTCCTCACCCCCGACCCCAGCGTGTCTGTGAGGCGTATAGCCGGAACCCTGCCAGCCTGCTGGAAGAGCAGATCGAAGGTGCCCGGAGGCGAGTCACTCAGTTACAGCTGAAGATCCAGCAGGAGACTGGAGGCTTAGTGGTGAGTGACGGCAGGCTCAGCTCCAGGGCCGTGCCTGTGGCCTGGGGTAGAGTCAGGAGAAAGCTAGGATAAGAGGCTTCCCGAGTCCCACAGGACCCTGCGGTGGAGCTAGTAAGTGTCCATATTTCCCAAAGAAACAGAGTTCAGCAGTTCTAACTTCTTCAGCAACGAGTGGCCGAGCAGTGTTGTGCCACTGGGATCCCAGAACAAGAAAAGGCCGGTTTCTTGCCCTCCGAGAGCTTACAATTGCAATGGGGATAAATGTGAAGTAAATGAGACTGTTGGTATTTAGCCTCCTAATGATCCATCATCCCCTTCTGGGTAGTGTCCTCATAGCTGGTGTATTCCTGTAGCCGTTTTACTCAGTATTCATCTGGTAGCTTTTCTGCCACCTGTCCCTCTGGCACCAGGTCTTCTCAGAGAACACAGTACTTTCTCAAGTCAGTGGACTAAAGGGTCCCCAGTGAGTTGAGAGGCAGCTGTAGCAGCAGCTAAGCATGCTTCGTGGGGACTCCCGGAGAGGAGGTCGCTGTTGCAGTGAGGGTCTTCACTGTTCGGGTCTTCACTGTTCAGGTCTTCACTGTTCGGCTCTTGGTTCCTCCATCAGGCCTCAGTGCCTTGGGTGAATAAGAAGTAACTCTCCAGAAACCTTATGGTCTCCAAGAATAATTCTTGCCAGAGCCAATAGAAATTATGTGAGGATTATCTGTTTTCTTCTTGAGAACATCCTGATCAGATGTGTCTGGGAAACACAGGCTAATCAGATTTAAACTTTCATATTCTGAAAAATTTCCCAGTGTCACCTCATTGATAGGAGCTCAGGTTCTAGACGTAGACCATCTGGGTTCACGTCCCAGCTCCAGTGCTCCCCAACTTTGAGAGTCTTGGGCAGGTTACTTAATGCCTGGGTGCCTCGGTGTCCTCATTTATAAAACGGAGATGGTGGCAGGATCTGCCTGGCAGGGTTACTGTCGGGGGTGAAGCGCGCCCTCCGCACAGGGCCAGGGCCCGTTTGCTGTTGCTTCAGTGGGCGTCCATGTACTCATGTTGGGAGATGGTGAGTCTGAAACAGCCTAGGATCTGAAGGTCAGGGCGCCAACCTAGCTTATAGTTCACCTGCTGTGTAGCTTGGGCAAGTTGCTTAAGATTTCTGGGCTTCAGTTTCCTCTTTATAACATGGAATACTATCTCTGCCTCCGAGTGTTGAAAGGCTAATGAGATGCAGAAGAGAGTGCCTCATGAACAAACCGGAAAGCATGGCCAACATAATGCCCTCCACGGGGCTGCTCGCTAGCACAGCCAGCTCCTGTCAGTCCTCTTCAGAGATCTGGAGAGGTGGGCTTTTCATCTCCTCCCTCAGTTACCTGCTTGAGCTTTTTGTACTCCTGATAGGTTCTTTGCAACCCAACAAAGGTCATAATAAACCAAGCAAGTGTGGGAGTTTTTCTAGTGGTAGAGCACCATTTCCACCATTAGGGGTCACCATCGTCCCCAAACTACAGATGAGACAGGAGCTCTTCAGGCTGGGTGTTTTTAAGGCAGTGGAGCAGAAGGCATTAATTGTAGGCAGGTATTATCTGCTGAGACTAAGGGAAGGGTTGACTGGAGGAAGGAAATGGGGAGAGGTTCACAGAACCTGCCCACTCTCTGGACCTTTCTCTTTTAGGACATACTTCCACTCTATGGCAACAGCAGCCAGAGACCATCAGAAGGTGAGTCCACAACAGCCCTTCTCTGGCATATTTCTAGTCCAAGTTTCTCATCTCCCCTCCCCGTGGGGCAGATTCAGGGAAAAAATACATAGCCCCTGTTCCCTGGGAAGTAGACCGATGAGAGAAAGCAGTACCAGTGCATGGGGAACTTGGATGCAGCCCACCCAGTAGAGGGGAGGGTGGAAGCAGCACCACTGGAGGGCGGTGGACCTGCACCAGGGGCGCTGGAAGCGTGATGGGCCGGACGACAGCTCACCTCGCAGCACCTGGTTCGAGGGAGCTTGGGTGCTGCTGGAAGTGGAAGGGAGCCGAAAGTGGTTCAGGGGTGAGTACAGGACAGACTCGTGAGCTAGAGCTATGGAGTCTTATTTCAGGAGGTGACACAGCCTGGGCACAGGTGTTAGGGGTAAGAGAAGCCCGGTGTAGACGACTGACTCGAGGGGCCACGAGATGCGAGAGCCGAAGGGAAGCTGGGAACGAGAGGAAGGTGGCAGCTCCGCCTTCCTACCCCATGTGCAGGCTCGCAGAAGAAATAAAGGTTCTTCTTTCCCCCAGCCCACAGCTCCCTCCTTACTATGTAAACTGTTCTCTTCTCAGGCCAACTCTCTGTGGATTCCCAGGAGGGGGACAGCGGCTTGGACTCAGGGACAGAACGCTTTCCTTCTATCAGTGAGGTGTGTGTGCCTGCAGGGCGCGCCCTGCCTAAAGCTGTACATTCAGTGTGCCTTCTCTCTAAAGGCTCTGCTGCCCACTGGTCACAGACCCTGCCTGTTGTCTATGGACCTCTCCTATAGTTACAGTTCCTAGGATTTTAGTTACTGTTCAAGGTTCCAAAAAAAAGGGTTTCAAATGCATCCTACAGGCAAAGCCATCAAATCTGGCTTCTGTTTCATCAGTCAACTCTGTTATATAAAGAGTAGGGTGGAGAGAGATGTCATTAATTGTAGCAAGCCTTTGAGTGTAAGGGAGGAGAGACGTAAATCATCTCAAACAGCAACTTAACCAAAAACACATTTCTTAACCAAAAACACATTTCTACCTGACCACAAATAACATCGTCTTAGGTTAATAGAATCAGCCCAGCCCAGTCAGAAGTGGCAGTCTCTCTCCCCTTGTCACAGATCTTGTACTTGAATAGCTCCTTTTCTGGAACAGACAAAAGAATTTTAGGTTTTGGCCTCAAAGGTTATCATCCAGGTATGCATGTTTAAACTGCAAATAAAAACTTGCAATAAGCGTGATAGAAGAAGTAGTAATGATGTTAGCAAAATATTTACTTAGCCAGGTTAATGAAATATGTGAATAAGAAGTTAAAGACATGTTTAAAACCTAATTTTAGCTAATAGTTGGAATTTTATTTCCTTACTTCTCCTGTTTATTCGTGGCAAGATGATATGGGTGTCTATGAAGGGATCAGTATATGGGGAAGATAACCAAGAAGGGAGAAGAGGGTCCTCAATAACCTACAGTTGACCTTAGCCCAAGGGCCGCACATCTGGAAAACAACATCACGTAGTGATGAGACTGCCTGGGTCAAGTCCAGAGAATAGCTCTTCGATCTTTATCAAGTCTTAGTTTCTTTGTGTGAAAAGTGGAGGAATGAGGATATCTACCTCAAAGGGCTACTAGTGTGAGCATCAGATGAGGTAATACGTAAGCACAGGCTTAGTATGAAGCCCGGCCTAGAGTCAGTACTGAATTTGTGCTCGCTGATGAGTTCCGTTGTCACCACCAAATGCACTGAACGCTGAGGGTCTCCTAGACCAGTGTCCTCACAGAACTCTCTGCTCTTCTAGTCTGTGATCAATCGGAACTCGGTACTCTCGGACCCTGGGTTAGACAGTCCCCGAACCTCCCCCGTGATCGTGGCCAGGATGGCCCAGCACCACAGGCGGCAGGGCTCCACCAGCGACCAGGTGAGTGCGCCGGGGCCACCTTGCGCTTTTCCTTTCCCTTTTCTCAGAGCTGGGTAGCCAGTACATGACCTGGATAACAGACTGAACCCCTGTCTTGTGGTAGACACTTACCTAGAGAACATGAGAAAGAACCCTATATAAATAGATGCGTGGAAGTAAGGCTGTCTCGGTGCTTTGTGAAGAGGCAGTGAATGCATCGGCAGGGAAGTGGTATCTAAGGAGCAAGTAGCTGGTCTTCTTTTTCATGTCTGTATGCAATAGGAAATTTATTTGTTCAGTACTTCTCCAAGACACTGATTTTCAGTTTTCTCTGTCTTTAGCAAAGTCCTTTTCTTAAACAAACTCTTACTTTCTGGCGCCCTAACATGGAAAACAAGCTCAGCTACCCTGGGACCTGCCGGTCAAATTCCCCTGCCCTCAGGCACTTCCTGGGAGCCCAGAGTGCTTCAAAACCTGATTTGGAAACCACTGCTTTCAAGGGTAGAAGTAGGTCCAGGGCAGATTTCAGGGAGAAAGACTGGCTCAGTGCAAAAAGCTTGCAAAGAATCTGGGTTGCCTGACAATGGGTGGGCCTCCTTGAGAGCCAGGGAATTGCCTGTCATTGATCGGGCAGAAGCTGGGTCACTACCTGTTCGAGACACTAGGAAGAGATCTCCTAGTTTTGTAAAACATTATTTCTTAAAATTGCTCTGTTACCACCATAGTGTTTTTTTCCATATCCTCATACCAACTGGATAATGTTACTTAATATTTTTCTTTAAGCTAACTCACTTTTTCAAATTTAAGTTTATTTTGAAAGGAAAGCCAGTATCACAGACTATTTGATGCTCTAGTTTTACCTGTAGGATAGTCTGGTTACTTTTACTTCTTAGGGAGAGGCAGGGAAATGGATCTAACATGTTAAAATGCCTAGTGCCCCAGCCACTGCGCTAGATCCTTTAGGGAAAAAAATCTCATTTACTTCTCACCAGCAGGAAAGGAGGTAGGCATTAGCATCATCATTTAGTAAGTAAGAAATCAGGCGAAGAAAAGCTAAGGGACCATTCAAGGACTTAGCTTGTAAATGGCAGCATCAGACTGGAACTTAGTTTTCTGGAGCACCCATGCAGGCCTGTTCCTCTCCTGGCTACTCTCTGGCTCTCTCTCTGTCCCCTCCCTTGGTGGCACCACTGTGCCACAGATAGCTGAGCGTCCACATCCTGTTATTAAGGGAGGCTCTCCTTTAGCTAGCTAATATGGGCAGGTGTAGGGTAATTGGTGGTGGGGTCCCTTTTTCCTATCTGAATGTGTTCCTCTCCTTAAAGATATTTAAACTGCTATTTTGGAGTGATAAGAGCAAATGGAGTCCCAGTTTGTTATTAATAAGCCATGTTAGTAAGAGCATAGGGGGAAACTTGTGCTCTCCATACAACTGTCAGCAGCAGGGGATGGAATCAAGGGGAACTCACTTTCAATTACATAATTCTGCATTGTTTGATTTTTTTCATAAGCATATTCTGCTCTTGTAAATCAGAAAACTCTGTATTTGTAAAGACTTTAAGAACCAAATCCCTCCCCCTAAACAAGCAAAATCTAGTGCTGTCAGCCTTCCCCCAGAGCCCAGGAGAGCCAGAAGTGGTCATCCAACACCCCCTGCAGGTTCTGGACCTTGAGGATTCAGAGGCCAGGGTCTTATGGGAGAGGAAGGTACTCAGGATGTGACTGGAAAATACAGACAGCACAGCAGGCCTGACTGTGCAACCTTCCATGTGCCAGTCGGTATCTCTGGGCCTCACTTTCTTCACTTACAGACGAGTGCTAGCCTCTGATCTCTGAGACACCTGCCGGGTCTCTCGTGTTCTGTGACTCAGTCGTTCTGGGCATAGAGTCTATAAATATCCAGGAGAATGAAAATGAGGAGCATCAGGGGGACAGTTAGGAAAAGCCCCTGGAGAAAGTGGATGAGGAGGTTGTCCTAGGCCTGAGTGAGCTAGATGGGTTCCTGGGCAGAGCCCTTTAGGGAGTCACTGGAAATGAGAAAGACTGAGTGAAAAACAAAGTTGGTAGAGCAGCTTTGGAAGCTCGAGGAATCTGTAGGAGGAAAGGCTTGTCCAGTGAAGCATCAGCAGAGTTGGTGCCTGTGAAATCGCTTATCATACTTAATATTGATAGCATACCAATTAGGGTTGGGTTTTTATTAAAATTGGAAGAAGAGGGAAAGAAAGAAAAGCCAAGCTAAGAAGTTTGGACTTCAGACAGGTGGTGGGAATCCACCATAGATCCTAGAGCAGGCAAAGGAACTGATGAAAACGGTGTTGGAGAAAGATCCGCTCCATCCGCTTTGGCTCAAGGAGGGAGAGACGGGTTGCTCACCGGTGCACCACGCGGTGGTGGGCGCCAGACCTGGAGGCTGCAGTGGGGTGGCTGTTCAGAACAGTAAAGCCCCCAGCCCAGCAGTCCAGTCCAGCAGGAGTCCTGGGTCCTCATTTGGATGGCTGACACTCCCTCCCCAGGTCTTTCGCAAACAGGAAGGGCACTTTCTCTGACTTCCCATCTTTGTGGGCACGTGACCAGGTTGCCCTGCCCCACCCAGAAGCAGTTGACTTCCTGCAAGTGCAAATCATTTTTTCTGTTCTGAGATTTGGGGGTGGGAGTGAGATGCCAGCATTTGCCAGGCCTGTGTGGCTTCCCTTGTCAGAGCTGTGCTGTGACTAGACACACTTCCTTGAGGGGCTCACATCCCCTGACCTCGAACCTGTCATCACTACTACTTGACTCTCTCCCCCAGGGTGTAGACCAAAGCTCAAAGCCTTTGATTATTGGCCCAGAGGAAGATTATGACCCGGGTTATTTCAACAACGAGGTAACAGCTTCCTGGCTTTCTCCTTTCATCACTCTTGTCGTGCCAGCTGCTCTGGACTAGCAGCAGCTGTGAGGGAGGACAGGGCGGGCACCAAGGTGCCCAGGCCTGGAGGGCGGGCACAGGCCGTGCTGCTGTGTGCTGCCTCTGTGCCCCCCAGCCGTCGTCCATCTGCCTTCCAGAGCGACGTCATATTCCAGGACCTTGAGAAACTCAAGTCACGGCCGGCTCACCTGGGGGTTTTCCTGCGTTACCTCTTCTCTCAGGCGGACCCCGGCCCACTGGTAAGTCAGAAGTGTCGGTCTTGCTTGAGGGCCTGCTTGTGCCTGGCAGAGAGTCTCTGGCCTGTCTTTGCTCTCTAGGTGTCCTAAGTCAGTGGGCACTGACAGGCATCCCAAGGTCAAAGACAGAGCAGAAGAGAAGATGCCAACTTAGGCAAAAGGGATGCCCCACTGTAGCTGCGTGGACAGCATGGGGAGGAGAGGAAAACTGTCATTCTTGGTCCACTCAGAGAAGGTGCTCTTTCTAGAGACTTTGAATGAAGGCAGCTGCAGATGGCCTGGGAGCTGAGGGAGCAGCTCTTGGGGATACACAGTGTCCCTCCAAGAAGGTCTGGTGGGGGGGCAAGGCAGTAAAGGTCTTGGATCTTGGAAGGTGCTGACAAGGATTGTGAGGAGTGGAGGCAGAGGGCCTGGTGCCAGGCTTAGAGCCAGCAGCCTTACCAGCTTCTCATTCTGCTCAGCTGCTTAGAAAGGAAAGGAAATGAAGGGGAGAGGTGGAGACTGTGACCTTCAGAGAAAACTTCTTGCACAAGGCGTGGACTCCTGGGGGTCCACTGTTAAACACCAGAATCCACACCCACTTGCTGAGCGGGCATTCCGGGAGCACCTGTGTGCTGTCCCAAGAGCTCATGTCTCAGAGCGCCCCGAGTGCAGACCAGGCACATCAGAAAGCGAGATAAAACAATATATGAACAAGTGCAAGACACAAAATCTCAAGTGCGGAGAGAATGCGGAGTTGAGGAGGGACTGTGTCGGGGGTGTGGGGGTGCAGCTGGGGATTGCCTGTCAGGTTTCTGGAGCACCCAAAGCCAGGGGTGCTCAGCCTCAGCTCCAGGGGCATGTGGAGCTCTAGAATTCTGTGCTGGGGGCGCCGCCCTGTGCACCGGCGGGTGTTCAGCCACATCATTGGACTGCAGGCCCACTAGATGCTGGTAGTGCCTCTCCAGCCACAGCCATCAAAAATGGCTCCAGGCATGGCCAGTTAGTTATCTCCCCAGGGGGTGAAACCACTTCTGGTCAAGGACCACCACTGTAACCCACTTTCTCTCTCCTCCTAGCTTTTTTACCTGTGTGCAGAAGTTTATCAGCAGACAAACCCCAAGGAGTCCCGGAGCCTGGGAAAAGACATCTGGAACATTTTCCTAGAGAAAAATGCGGTAAGGCCCTCATGGATCGGATTACATGTTTGTTACACTCTTTGGACCACCCAAGGGTGGAGGAAAGACTAACGAAAATGTTCAGGCCTGATGGAGACAGGTTCTCAGAGAGAAGTCTGGGCAGAGAGCTTAGGGTTCCTGGACTCTGTTCCTAGCTCTGCTCTCTTAGATCGATGTCCTCTGTTCCACACGGAGGAAGGGAGTGTACACATCGCCTCTCTCCGCGGTGTTCGGAGAAGGACCGAGCTCGCACCACGTTCTGATTACACCCCCTGGATCAGGGCCCTGCTTCTCCCAGCCCTCTCTGCTCTGCACATCCTGGGACAAAGGAGGAGAGGCCCAGAGGCAGCAGATGATCGAGATCAGTGAGCAGGAGAAGCCAGGTTCCCGAAGCTCAGCCTGAGCGGCTGTTACTGCCCAGGGCAGGGTTTGGAGGGAGGAGACGGGGTATCCAGAGGGGACAAGCAGTCCACTCCACACTGGACGTGGCTCCCCAGCATGTGGCAGGGACCCCACTGGTCCCAGCACCTCTGCCTGCAGAGGGCAGTTCCCATTTTAGACTTTCTAATCTGATCAACTAGTTCCAAAAGGACTTGTTCTTCTGGCAGTAAGTACCGGGACTATGACAGGAGATTGGGAAATAACTGTTTCTCCTCTAGATTTTTACATTTGTCCCCTTAGGTGGGTCTTAAGTAAGGAGGCTGGAGCTGTGGTGGTTCCACACTGGTTGTTGGGGACCCCCGCCAGCACCCAGTGGGAGCCAGACCCTGCTTGCTTGGTGACATAAGGCTGGTGTTCCCTTGGGGGTGAAGGAGCCAGGAGGCCCACCAGGTAGCCTGATAAGCATGTCTCCCTCGCTGCTGAAGTAGCGCCAGTCCACTTTTGAAACATCTCCATCTTATACACCCTGATGTCTTTGACATAAAGTGGAAAAACTGCACGGGCCATCCTCAGAATACAGTCCCGGCTCGCCCTGTTGCCTCAGATTCCATTTCTCAAAAACCCCGACCTGGACTTCAGGTATTCAGGTCAGAGAGAAGTGAGAGGAGGTTGCGGTAGACATAGGGAAAGAGGGGAGAAGGTAGCATCCAGAGCCCTCCCCGCCCCTGCAGGATGTCTGTCACACCTCCCTGCAGCAGGGGGTCTCACCACTTCCCCCCACTCTGCTGTTTTTTAGCCCCTGAGAGTGAAGGTCCCAGAGATGCTGCAGGCTGAAGTAGGTAAGTTGGCTCATTGGTCAGTTAGTTGTGAAGTAGTGAAGTAGTAAGTTGGCTCATAGTCTTGTCCTGGGCTTCCCAGAGGCTCCAGAACACAGAGGGGATGTGGTCTCTGTCCCTGGGACGCTGTCTCCTGATAGGGGAATGTGGGGCTGGTTCTGCTAGAGCTCCTCATGGTGGCTTAGGGCCAAGCCCAGACAGGACGGGCCTGCCTGGGGGCTCACCACCCCGGGAGCTTGTCACAGGAAGGCACTGGCTCGGGAGGCCTGGGCTCCTTCCTCCCGACCTGCCACGGATCGTCTCTGGGCCTCCCTTGGTTCCTTTGTGCCAAGAGGGAATTAGACTCAGCGAGGGATTCCTGAGCCTGATAGGGCACCAGAATCCCCGGTGAGCTCTGTGCAGACGCCAGGGCCTCCCTCCCTCCCACCTGCAGAGGCGGGATCTCCTGAGGGTTTTTGTTTTATTCCTCTTAAGTTCCTTAACCAATACCAGTGGGCGGCCCAGCATGAGGACCCAGTTAGCTGGGGGGTTGCTCCCCTCCCTTCTCACTCTCTAGCCCCGAGTGGAAGAGCTGAGGGCAGGCATGTAAAGAGGAAAACTCACAGGCAGCTTCTCGAAGATGGAAGTCTGAACTGCCTTTGGAGAGAGGCACTGGCAGACCTGGCTGACGGGGAGGAAAGCTTATGAGCACAGGCCAGAGGGTGAACAGAGCTTCCCTAAGAGCAAGTGACAGGGAACAGCCTCTCCCAGGGACTTGGCCTCTGCTGAGTGAAGCTAGAGGAGGGCCAGGAGAGACACCCTCCGGGGGCTTTCGTGTAAAGTGCTTGCCTCTTGCAGCCCTGTGAGCCGGCCCTGGGGCAGTAGGAGAATGACAGGCTTGCATTCGGTGTCAGGGGGCAGGGTCTGAACACACCTGGTGAGGGGGGCTTTAGTAGTGTTCTACCTAGTGGTGTATAGAACATCCAGTTTTGTACTCCCTCGAGACGGGCATCAGGACCCAGGCCTGAGTTCAGGAGCGACCTGGCAGGCATGGGCCGCGCTTCCCTCGGCTCACAGGAAAGCAGGAAGCCGACATCCACTCCCAGGGCCACAGGGATGCCCAGCAAACACCACCTCCTCCCCAACACCCACCCCCATTTCTGTCTTGGGCTCCCACCACAGACTTGCGCCTGCGGGCGGGTGAGGACGTCCGCGGTGTTCTCGGTGACGCTCAGGAGGCGGCCCTGCCGGAGATCCAGGAGCAGATCCACGACTACAGGTGCCCAGCCCCGCCCTTTGCTTCCCCTCACCACGTGTGTGTGTTTCCTCACACCTTTTGGGTATCTGCCGAGTACTCGAGTACTCGTGCACATTTACTTTTTTCTCTGTGTCTCTGGCTTAGAACAAAACGCACTCTGGGTCTGGGCAGCCTGTATGGGGAGAATGACCTGCTGGACCTGGATGGGGACCCCCTCCGAGAGCGCCAAGTGGCCGAGAAGCAGCTGGCTGCCCTAGGCGACATTCTGTGAGTCTCCGGTTCCGCTCGCACCCCCAGCACACTCAGCAGGTGGGGTGTTCCCTGGGGCTCCTGCCTGCTCTCTGCCCTGCTCTGCTGCTTGCCCGAAGCTCCTTCCCCTGGAAGGTGGGGCGAGTCCCACCCCCCTGCTGCCTCTCAGGCTAGCCTGGGACCCTGACAGTGACTTAGTGCTCGAGGCAAGCCGCAGGCCCCAGGGTCGCGCTGAGCTTTCTGCTTCCTTCTCTCACCCTCTTCCTGCCTCCTCCCTTCCCGCCTCTAAGACGCATCCGACCTGGCCGACCTGGGCGTGGGAGCCACGCTGTGAGTCCGTGTGGGCGCAGCTCCTTCAGCAGCAGACGGAACTGGCTTAGGGGAAAGCCAACCGTTTTTAACTAGTTGCATCAGGAGACTGACCTGACTAAACTTACTGATGAGCCTCTGGCACCACAGCCATGGTTGCCCCTTTCCAGCCCCACCTTCTGAAGTGTCGCAGGACCTGCGATGACCATGTGGGGACACTTCCAGGCTCAGAGGTGGATTTTCACCCAGGCCTGCGCCTCTACTCAGTGGTCATATGACCCAGTTAAGCCGTTTCGTCTATCTTGGTGTCAACTATCAAGTGGCAAAAGTTGGACGAGATGATGTCCATAGCCGCCTCTAACACCGATATTTCCATTCAGCGAATATTTGTGGAGCCCTACTGTGTGCTGAGTACTATTCTAAGTTCCTGGGATACATTAGTAAACAAAAAAACAGTTCTTGTGGAACTTAAGTCGTAGTGGGAGGAGAAAGCAATGTATGATAAATAAGTAAATGCTGTAGTGTGTTAGAAAGAATAAGTGCCAGGGTGGGGGTTAGGAAATAGAGCTGGCTGAGGGGGTCAGGAACACCGGGGTTGGCAGTTTTGAATAGGGTGGTCAGGGTGGGTGTCATCCAGAACCTTGAGCAAGTGAGGAAAGTGGGAGAGCTATCCCTGCAGACATCTGGGAAGAGCCTCCCAGGCAGGACAAGCAGCCAGAGCAAAGCGGGGATGCGCTTGACACACTTGAGCAACAGCAGGAGGCCAGTGACCAGAGCAGACTGAGAAAATGCTCAAGTGAGAAGGGTTATAGGGGGGTGCACTAAGCCTGTGGACAGTGTAAGGACACGGGGCTTTGCTCTCGGGGTGGGGAGCAAGCGGGGCTGTGAGGGACTCAGTTGTGGGTGGAGGGTGGGGAGCAAGGGAGGGTTCCAGACAGCGGTCAGCGAAGGAGTTCCCGGGATAGGGGCTTGGAACAGAGCAGGGGTGACGGAGGCGGGCAGAGAGGTCGGTTCTAGGCATTTTCTGACAGCAAAGCAAACAGGAATATTTCCTTAAGATGAAGTATGGGGCGTGAGAGAAAGAGGAAAGTGGAATACTCCACAGTGTTCACCTAAACTCCTAAAGGGACTCAGGTGCCATTGATTGTGAGGGATGACCATATGTGGGGCAGTTCTGTGGTAGAAAATTTGGGGCTCAGTTTTGGACCTGTTCCATCTGAGACCTTTTTTAGACCTTAAGCTGGAGGTCTGAGTAGGGCCACTGCACATCTGAATCTGGGGCTTCACAGAGGGAGGGCTTATTCTTTGAAAACAGCCTTCCAACCTTCAAGCCCTGAATCTTCGTGGCCCTTTGTGTCCTAGTAGTCACATGGCAGTAATCACCGTGACCACTCCAGAGACGGAGGCAAAACCTAACTGCACCTATTCTGAGATCGTAAACACAGAATTATATGGGATGATTATTGACATCATAGATACCCCACTTACAGGGGCTTCTACTTAAAGCAGTGAAGCTTTGGTCTCATTAAATGAAGATATAATACCTACTCATGGGTTAATTTGAGAATTAGATGTGTAAATACAACAGTGCCTGGCCTGTAGTGAGCACTCACGTGTCAGCTGCTGCTCCAACCATTTACCTCCCTTAAATAGGTTTCTCTGAATCAGACCTCAAAGCGCTACCTCTGCTCTCACCTTCCTGCCTCTCAGGTCGGTTGTCAGCCAGCCCTCTAATGAGTTTGGGGCACAAGGCCGAGCCTCTGCCTCCATAGCAACTTAAGCTGGGACAGATACCAAGCAGGAGGCTGTACTTGCCATACACCCCTTCCTTTTAGCTGGACAGACCATGTTGTCAGCCTCATTGTAACTGTGCTGAGTCCCTCAAGGGCATGAGAACTCTCTCCTCCCAAGCCCCAAGCTGGCTGCAGAGCTGGGACCGAGAGCCTAGGCTGACCTCCCGTCACACTTTCCAGCAGCCCCCCTTCCTCCAGGAGGGAACTGGCCCCCGCGCAGCGTCTGCACAGGCAGACAAGCCTCCGCCTTTGCAGTCTGTGTCATCTGCTCTTTCTTCTGTTCCAGGTCCAAATACGAGGAAGACAGAAGGTGAGTCAGTCTGGGGTTTCAAGGAGGAAAGGAGCGGGCTTGAGCTGCGGTGCTTTCCGTCTTCACCAGTCACAGGGGAGTCCCCAGCACTGGGGGAGTGCGGGCTGTCCCAGTCACATTCCCAGGGGCCTGGGTACCCATAACACCACGTGTCATGAGTCCAGGCCCCTGGCTCGCCACCTGGGACGGGGGTCTGCTGCTCAGTGGGAAGACACCAAGCTGCTGTCACTCCCAGGATTCCCACACCTAGCTGCCTCTTCACCCACATTAGCCATGTCTCCCCACTTCTTTCTCTTAATCACCTAAGGACAAAGTGGTGAGAGGACCATCCTGTGTCAGCAGCAGCCACGGGGAAGAACAGGAGCACAACAATGCCCTCTCTTGGCACATTTTAGTTCTTTTGCAGCCTGTCTGTGTATCCTTTTGTTTCTGAGCAGCCAGTGTCAGCATGAGTACGCAGTCCTTGGGCATGCACACACTTAATAAGGGAGAGAAGACAAGGTTAGAAGCTTGTCTAAGAGAGAAAAGCCGGGGCTGCAGCATTTGCTGCAGCAAATCCACAAAGTGGGTAGTCCGTCTACCAAATTGAGAGCCAAGTACATTCTTAAACACAGAGCTCTGGACAGTTTCATTTGTGGTGCTTGGAAGCTACTTGACAGCTCAGTTTCACCTCCTTCTCTCTTTGTCCTTGGGGGTGGAAGTGACGAAGACAGTATACCTCAGCAGAGGCAGGTGGCATCTCTCCCCTTGCCTGCCCCTCACCCCCACAGATGCCTGGGGCATTAGCTGGGGGCTCAGCTGGTCCTCCAGGCCTACCCATGAGTTGTCTGCTTATATTTTAGGGAACTGACAGGTCTTTCCACCAACCTCTGTCCCCTCATCAGGAAGAGGCCTGCGTAGGGAAAGAATAATTTCTCCTGGGAGTCACGCCAGCCAGAACTTGTAGCCAGCTTCTGCCTGCTGTCCCATTGAGTATATCAGGCCCCTCTGAATACCCTGAGCCCCTAACTATCTCTCTGTCCCCCCGCTGGACGGTGGAGAGAAGATGGCTTGGAGCAGGGCTCCAGCCCTCCCCGCCGCCAGCAGGGGCGACTGGCGCTTTCTGAGCCCTCATGCCCGGTCCCTCTCCGCAGTGCCCCCATGGACTTTGCCCTCAATACCTACATGAGCCACGCTGGGATCCGTCTGCGAGAGGCACGGCCTTCCAACACAGCTGAAAAGGCCCCGTCTGCTCCTGACAAGGATAAGTGGCTACCCTTCTTCCCGAAGACCAAGAAGGTGACCGCGCTCCCCTAGAAAGTATCTCCTCTGCACTGAGGCAGTTGCCTAGTTCACCCCACTGCCTTTGGGTGTGAGGTCACCTGGACTCCCCAGACCAGAGCAGCTCTCTCCCTCCCTGCAGACCCAGGCCAGAAGCCTATGGGCCAGTTTAGGTACAAGCATGAGGCTGCTTTCCAGTTATTTGTTGGGGTCCAGTCTCGGGGCAGTGGCAGAGAGTGGCAGAGTGATTAGCAGCCAAGTGTGGTATTGGACCTTCCCCAAACCCTGGTGCCTATTGTCTCAACAGAGCAGCAATTCTAAGAAAGAGAAGGATTCCTTGGAGGACAAGAAGCGAAACCCCATCCTCAAATACATTGGGAAGCCCAAAAGCTCTTCCCAGAGCAGTGAGTATTCAGGGGGGCACCAGCCTCGGACGCGGACCTCAGCCTCTGCACAGACCCAGAGGCTGCGGCTTCCCCTTGCGCCGCCGTTGTCTTCTCCTTGCCACGCCCAGGGCAGTCTCCGCGAGGTACCGGGGGCTGCTTCAGAGCTGCCCCTCCTGGGTCCTACTGGGAATTAAAAGCCGCCTGTCGCTCCTGAACAGCCCTGCAGAGGAGTATTTCTCCCTCCCAGGATTGCTTTGTGGACAGTGAATGCCCCCTTTGCCTTCACAGGATTCATCTGTACTGCTGAGGTCCTATGTGTTAGGGGCAACTATGGGCCCTCAACAGGGAGTTTGAGTTACAATTAAGCAGAACTAGGTTGACAGGGGGCAGGTTTGGGACCCAGAGGTTAATCCGTAAAGCCCAAAACTCAGTCGGTGCAGTCATTGGTCTCTTCCCAGCCATGTGTCATTTGTCGAGAAATCACCGCTGGCCCAGTCAGTGCCCTAAGCCCCTGGTCTTGGTCTTGGGGATCCGTGAAGGGCCGTGAGCTAAGTCTGCTGCCTCTGGACGCTGCTGCTTGGGGACGTGGTGGAGGGAGGGGCTCTCCTAGGTCACACCTGGGTTTTGCCACCTTTTCATTTTCCAGCTTAATGTAATTTTTATTTTGACTCTGAGACATTAATTTGACTTTTCATGGTTTACTTTTGTTTTTGTTTGTTTTCTTTTAGCATTTCATATTCCCTTGTCCCCTGTGGAAGGTAAAAGGACCATTTTCTTTGGGTTTTTCTTTGCATTAGCACCGAGTTTCCATTTCCCAAGTCCTGCCCTTCCTCCTTCTTGTCTGCCTCTTCATCTTCTCCCCTGCTGCACCCATTTCTCCTACACGTGTCTCCTGCCGCTCGAGCTGCTCACCCCGGGGTACCGGATGGCCTGCCCAACCCAGGGTTCTGGGGCGGGACCCCGCCCCAGGAGGAGCTCCAGGCAGCACAGCAGGGCCAGCCCCCAAGGCCCTCCTGCAACAGCGCCAGGGCTATCTTTCCATCACCCCTGCACGGCCCCAGCTCCAAAAGTCCAGGGCTCCTTATAAGTGAGGGAAACCCTCACACACCGAAATGCCCTGCGTGAGTTCCTCAAATGTTTGTTCTCAATGGAATTAATAATAAAAATCCTTAGTTTTGAAGGTTATGTGGGGTCTCTTTAATAAATAATAGGTCTCTGGCAGTTTTTCTTTGGGGCACTTTAATGTCTGTCATTTACTTTGCTTAAGCCCTTCAGTGTAGCACCTCCATCCTGTTTGATTCTTAGCTGCAGTAGTAAAACAGGACAACCCTAAATAGATGTTATAGCACCTAATATCTTCTAGAATCTATATATTAAAATATATATAAAATACATATTAACCCAAAGAAGCTTAGAACCTAGCACTGGAAGAGTTCATTTCCCATCAGTGAGGGCCATCTGCAGGCAGTTAAGTGGTATAATCTTTTCTAGGTCCTACAGTAATCTTAGGAGAGAGAGAGCAGTGGGATGCCATCAGGAAATTATTTGATTGCTAGAATTCATTTTTTATGTCAAATGACAATTAAAAATAGTGATCTGCCAAATTATTTCAAAATTTGTTAAATTCCTAGACTCATTGTGATATTCTAAACAATAAAAATGAAGGATATATTGAAAACCCAGGCCTCAGCATTCCCTCCCCCCACCCCCACCCCCTTTGCCCACACTGCTTGCTTTGTGTCACTGCGGGGACGGGAGCCCCCAGGGTGGCGCTGGTGGTCCCAAGGGCAGGACAAGGACGCTGGGTGTCCACCATCCCTTTGAGTCAGAACTTTTCCTGTTGTGATTTCATGATTGAGGTTGGTGTCCCCACACTCCCAGTCCATCAGACAAATCCGTATCCTCTACAGGCCAGACACCCACCGCAGCCGGAAAGCCTCACTGTTGAGCATTCCGCCAATTAGGCCCATGAGCTATTGTTCCTGTTCATTAGGGAACATATCTGATTATAGTAACATAATGTACTTTTATGTTGTTTCATCATCATTCAGAGAATGGGGGAGGATGAGCCAAGGCTACCAGCTTTGCTCTTTTGATAAATTTGTTCCTTTCTACCTGTTTTTTCCCATTCCTCTGGGTTATTCAGTTGTACCAGATCTCGGGGCCATACCTGTTTCTTACAATGGCTAGCGAGTAACCATATCCCAGAAACAACGGGGCACATTTGAGTGGCCCGTGCCGAGGCGACAGTGGGCTCAGCCTGGTGGCCTCCTGATACAGGATGTCCCCAGGCTCCCACATCATCAGCCAGCCGGGGCTGCGGCTGCCAGTGGAGACTGGCTCCTTCAGTGACCCCACATTCAGTCTGGGACAGGCAGGCCTGGCCCTGAACTCCAGGATGCGAGAAGTGGACACACGCATGTACACACAGCCACCTGTTAGGCTGTTGCAGATAAATTTTACTCAAGCTACCTGCCTAAAGGCTATGAAGTTGTGAGCTTCTAAGAGACCATCTGAATGGTTTTCTGTTTCCTCTAGCCTGGAAATTTCCTTAAGAAACTGATGTTAGCTACAGACGGAGATTTGTAAGTTTGTCTATGTAGATGCTAGAATCTCTGAAGCCGGGTGGGACCCCTGTTATTGTGGCGGAGGTCAGGGCCTAGCCCCGTTGGGCACTTATCCTGAGATGAGGTAAATCCCACTTTCCCGTCCTGTGGTCTCGGGCAGAGCAGCGTTTCCAGCCCAGTTCCTGGTGAGCGGAGCTCTCTGACCCTGAAGGTGAGAGCCGGTGGGCTCCTGGGCGGGAGTTCTCTTCCCCACATCACATCTGCCTTCTACTCTCTCACCTGCCCTCTCCACTTCAGACAAGAACAGCTGTCTTTTGTCTTAGCTTTGAAAAGGGGCTGGAACTTGAATGCGAGAGTGACATCTCTCCTCTGTTCCTAACCACCTCCCACCACCACTGAGAATAGGGGGTCTGATTCTTCAGTGATGGAGACCAGAGGCAGGGGTGGAAGCAGAAAGAACAGGAAGGAGAGTCAAGGGAAACAAAATACTGAGCTGTAAAAGGAATACAAATTGGAAAATGATAGAATGTGGCAACCTGACCAAATGACATGTAGACATGTTTTTGGTAATCCTGCCTGTTTTTGTGACCTGTTTGTGGCTCTTAGGAAAAACCTTGTTGTGATTTTCAAGTGTAAGAGTCAGTAATAAAGAATGTGAGAGCCAGAAGGAATAGCCATAGCAAATGTCCTCCCAGGCCCTCTCATTTTGCACACGAGAGGAGGGCAGACCTGGGAGGGTGGAGTGGCCGCCGTGGCACCCTGGGGATTGGCGGGTGAGCCAGGACTAGGCCCGTCTCCTGATCCTCAGCCCCATGCTCCTCCCATCCATGCTTGCTCATTGCTCTGTCTTCTGGGCTAGAGGGGAATGAAGGCCCTGAGACTCTGTCCCTGAGCAGAGAACCGTATCCTTCATTAGCTTTCTGCTTCTAGTCAAACCAGGCAATGTGAGGAACATCATTCAGCACTTTGAGAACAACCAGCAGTATGATGCCCCGGAGCCTGGGACGCAGCGACTCTCAACAGGAAGCTTTCCCGAGGACCTGCTGGAGAGTGACAGGTAGCAGTGGCCGGATTGGCTTGCCAGGCTGCCCAGAAGGGGCACAGGTGGAGTTTGGAGCTAGGGTTTAATTCCAGCTTCTTTACCCCGTCCACTAGACAGTAAGGCTCCCACTGGATAGCATCAGAAGACAACATACTGTGTGTTGGTGATCAGGCCAGGACAGCAGGGCCTCTGACCTTCCTGCCCAGGAGCCATATGCCTTTAACATTTCCTTTGGCTTCAACCCTCTGACTACTCAGTAGCCTCCATGCTAAGAATGAGCTTAATTATTATGAAGCGCCTAATCGGACTCCCTAATGACAGGGCTAGAGAGGACTGTAGAGGGGCGGAAGGAAGTCCAGGGAAAGAGGAGGTCGGGCAACAGCCTCTGCCACCCATGAAGACGAGCTAGAGTGAGGTTCTGCTGGGCGTATGAGCTGGGCATCAGATGTCTGTCAGCAAAGAGATGCAAAGTTCAGGGATTCAGAGCAAACTGCTCTTCCCCTTTCAGGAAGCACAAGGGGAATTGAAGCTGTGGCATCTCTCATACTCCCATCTTTGATCAAGTTCTAACGAGAATCCTTCTCTCGTATTGACTTGTTCTTGACTGTGGCTTGACAATAATCAAGTCATGTATGAAATTCTACAGACAACACTGGAAGTGAATTGTCATAGTCAGAAATATCCTTGCACATTCCTTAAGTCATCCTTGAAGTGTAGTAAATGTGGTCTTGTGTGTACAAGAGTAATTCTCACACACACACGTCTGCGAGTTACTGTGCTGGACTTCGGCAGGCACAGAAGCAAGTCAGTGCATAGCAGCCTGGATAGTCAAGCCATTTTACCTCTGAAATATCTGGATTCAAACTCTTTTTAAGTCAAACATTCCTGCTGTAGGCAAGATTACTCCTTTCTACTTATATGAAGCCTTTATAAGCTCATACATGGTAAATGATTTTGCTATGGTGAGAATTAACAAAGGTTTAGGAAAGAAAAAGTTAGATCTGTGCTGGGGTGAGAGGCTGAGTTCTTATATCACTGGATAAATTAAATGCGTTTATATTGTGATTGCTGGGGTAGGCCTGATCTTACAGATGCATGAAATATGTGAGTGTAAGATATAATAACAACATTTTGTAAAAATATTTGAGACCATTTACAAACCTGTATTCTTGGAGTTGCTAGGGGAATTTGCCCTAAGACATTCACTAGGATCCTGAATATTCTCTGCAGAAGCCTTTGGATTTGATGATTATAAGCTTGCTGGCAATTCCAGAAGAAAGAATTAGCAGCACAGTGGGTCAGAGGTTGTTGAAGTGACTTAACAGGTGCAGGAAGCCCCCCATCCTAGACAGCAGCACTCTAGGAATCTGGGGCCAGCTGTGGGTCGCGTGCCTCGCTTCCTGATGGGAATATTACTCACTTTCTGGCACTTGAAAGAAGGTGCTTCCCTGCAGCCCCAGTAACCTCGCTGGATGAGGTTTGTCGTGGCCCTCAAGTGACACATTGTGGGGCACTGGTGCAGGCAGTGGGGTTAGACTGGGTTGGAATTATTCTAACAGGCATCGGGGGAGTGTTCAATAGGGAGTCAGCTACAGTATGGTTTCTAATGCTCAGGCCCCCAGGAGGAGCTCCAGTTGGGTCCTCCGGCAGTTAGGAGAGACTTAATGAATAGAGGCCAGGCCATTTGGCTCCTTCACCGCAGCAGCCTGCTGTGCTGGGCTCGCCAGACCCGCCAAGCCTCCTGTGGTCCTGGAGGCACAGCAGGATGTAGATGAGTAGTAATGGCAGCAAAGAACAGCCCAGAAGAGCCATCCTGGGGCACTGAGGGTCAGAGATGCCAGCGCTCTCAGAGCTGATGCATTGCAGGACTCAAAAAGGAGCAGCCCCCAGCCATCAGCATCTCATCAAGCCTCAGACACCCTGGCTGAGTAAGCATGGCAGCCAGGGAGCAGGGTCCCGCCTGTCAGTACACAGACCCCGTAAGCACCTTCCCAAGCTGGTCTGCTCCCAAGAGGGGAGATGGAAGCTTAGGAAGGAAGCTATCAAGATAAGAATGGAAGAAATCTACATCACAGCCGGAGGAGTGGGAAGCCAACAGCAGGTGGGATCATCTGATGGACAGTGTGGAGAACGTTAGAATAAGCGAGTAAAGATAGTGCCTGTCCTTCCTGTAGGAAGAGCTTGTAAAAGGGGAGATGGACTTCAAGCAGAGTCCAGGCTGGGAGCTGACCTGTTCCAAAGCAGAGGGCAAGATGGGCTGGCATGCGAGAGCCCAGGGACTGGGAGGCGGGACCTGGGAATCCCCGATAAAGGACTGGTGTGCACAGCTTTCCCTACAGGAGATTAGGGTCTTTGGCACCTGGACACATGACGAGTCTAATTCTGTTAGCCCCAGATTTCACCTTCCTGTTAGGATCCCTGCCTGAGTGGTCCCAAGGAAGTTGAGAGGCCCTGTGCATCAGGCCAGGCTAAGGAGAGGAGTTTATAGAGCAGCCACAGTGCCATCCTCAGTGGGTATTGGGCAGTAGGTAAGATCCCAAGGTCTCTCGCCCTTTCTCCCCAGCTCCCGCTCAGAGATCCGCCTGGGCCGTTCCGAGAGCCTGAAGGGCCGGGAGGAGATGAAGCGGTCTCGGAAGGTGGAGAACGTGCCCCGCTCTCGCAGTGACGTTGACATGGACGCCGCTGCCGAGGCTGCGCGTCTCCACCAGTCAGCCTCCTCCTCTGCCTCCAGCCTCTCCACCAGGTAGGCAGGGCACAGGTGCCCAGCCCACTGGTATCTTCAGGGCAGGGGCAGAGCAGAGGGTTGCTGAGAACTGACATTCTTTCCCCAGGTCTCTTGAGAATCCAACCCCTCCCTTCACCCCCAAAATGGGCCGCAGGTGAGTGACGGGTGCCGTAGCGCCTCTGGTGTCCCAGCCATGCTCAGCCGTTCCTCCACCCTGAGTGGCTAGGTGGGTGGGTGTCTCCTCTTTGTGGCCCGCTGCCTTCCATGGGCACAGGGCAGGCAGGCTGGGCTGGAGAGGGAAGGCCAAACCCTGTGTGTGAGTTCTTCCTCTGCGAGACACTGAGCTACCCACTCTCCCCCAGGAGCATTGAGTCCCCCAGCTTGGGGTTCTGCACAGATACCCTCCTCCCTCACCTCCTAGAGGATGATCTGGGCCAGCTGTCTGACCTGGAACCCGAGCCAGATGCGCAAAACTGGCAGCATACAGTGGGCAAGGATGTGGTGGCTGGGCTCAGCCAGAGGGAGATTGACCGGCAGGAGGTCATCAACGGTGAGAACGGGCCCCACCTCCCGTCTGCACTCCGGCACAGGTGGAAGCAGGCACCACGTACCTGCAGTGCCAACGCCAGCAAAGATAGGGTGGGCCCTGAGGGCAGAGCCAGGTCCGTGTAGCTGTGCCTGCAAAGGCCGCCTCAGTTCTGGCCTCTGGTGGGGACAGAAAAGTTGATGAGCAATCTGAAACTAGCACTTGGTTCCTCCAAAAGTCAAGCCCTTTGGGGGCCATGACAGTGACTCTAGATGCTTGCTGATCTGTTTCTCCCTGTCTTTTGACCCTTCCATGTCACAACTCGTTCAGAACTGTTTGTGACAGAAGCTTCCCACCTGCGCACACTCCGGGTCCTAGACCTGATCTTCTACCAGCGCATGAAGAAGGAGAACCTGATGCCCCGGGAGGAGCTGGCCCGGCTCTTCCCCAACCTGCCCGAACTCATAGAGATCCACAGTGCGTAGCCCGTCTGCCGTGTGCCTGCCCCGCTCCCATCCTGCCCTGGCTAGCCTTCAGGCTTCTGCTGGGTTTTGCCCACATGCCCACCCTCCCCATGCAGATAAGCCTCACCAGTCCTCTTTGCTGAGCAAACTTCATATACAACCTGAAACCAGCATTCTCATTGCCCCAGAAGTAAAATAGCTTCCAGACCCTTCCCCGTGGCCCTGCTCCCAAAGACCCCTATCTGGCAGGGCAGCTCAGCCCTGGGTGGTTCTTTTTCTTCTCTCTTGCGCACCCCAGATTCCTGGTGTGAAGCCATGAGGAAGCTCCGGGAGGAGGGCCCCATCATCACAGAAATCAGTGGCCTCATGCTGGCACGGGTAAGGCTGCCGGAGGCGGGACCCGTGGCCGGAGGACGGGCATAGTGGGGCGTCCGGGCAGGGTTGTGATACTGGTGGCACCTGTTCTGCCTCTCAGTTTGATGGCCCCGCCCGGGAGGAACTCCAGCAGGTGGCCGCTCAGTTCTGCTCCTACCAGTCCATAGCCCTGGAGCTGATCAAGACGAAGCAGCGCAAAGAGAGCCGATTCCAGCTCTTCATGCAGGTGTGCCCACGGCAGGTGTTCCCTCATTGCTCCCAGAAGTTGGCCCATTCAGTCATCTCTCATATCTGAGGCAGAAAAGTTAACAAGGGTCCGAAGTCCATCCCAGCCCCCAGCTCCCAGGACCTCAGCCTCTCCTCTCCACCAGGGAGGACACCCCAGCAACTCCCTGCCCCCGCCCACACCCCCCTCCACGCCGCCTCTGCAGAAACACTCTCAAGGCAGAGACCACTGTTCACTGAAATGGAACTGGATCCTCACCAGAATCCCCGGCTCACCTGCCCGTACCTGTGTGACATAGAGGGGCCTGTTCCCTTGTCTGTAAAGCAGGAAGAGAACCTACTCCACGTAGCTTGTCTGCAGCATATCCCTTCCTTGGGCTGTCGCCTCCCTACCCTGACCAGTCTTTCCCTAAGTATTTAAGGAGGAAGCTGCCACCACTGCTTCTGAGTTACTGTCTGCAATTAGAGCCTATTTGGCATTTTCACTCCCACCCGGGCCCTGGGCCCATAAACCAGCTCCTGACCACGGGTTGCCATCTGTCTGTGCGTTCTTCCGTCTAGGAGGCTGAAAGCCACCCTCAGTGCCGGCGGCTGCAGCTCAGAGACCTCATCATCTCCGAGATGCAGCGGCTCACCAAGTACCCGTTGCTGCTGGAGAGCGTCATCAAGCACACTGAGGGTAGGGCCTGGCCGGGCGCGGGCACCGGGGCGCCGCCACCCTGCTTCCCACCCTCATTCTAGCGCTGACTTGCTTTGTCACTGGAGCCAATCGCTCAACCCCTCTGGCCTTCAGGCTCTTCATCCTTGCCTTCTGTCACGGTTCGTCTCAACGAGGACAGTGGTTGTAAATGTGCTTTGGGAAGAATAAGGCTCTCAGCAGCAGGAGGATCTAAGGGCTGCCTCTAGCCTGTGCAAATCAGAGGAAAGCATCTAGCTGGGCACAGGGTGGCATATGGGCACCTTGGCTCCTCTGACAACCGTGGTCCCACACCAGGGGCCATGGGTTTTATTTTAGGCCCTGTCACCTCCACTGCTGGATGCCTCTGTGCAGAGCACAGAAGGTCCAACCCGATGTGGTAACTCTAGAGGAGTAAGAGGCCGAGCGGAATGAGAGTCCAGCTCAAGGTTGTCTCTGTCCCGGGGATTCCGAGCATCTCTCACCACCCTTGGGTTGGAAGCGCTGGGAGTCTGGGTGTAGACGTGTGAAAAACCGCAGCCCAGCTCCAGAGGCATGGTCACGGCCATCACCACCGTTCCCAGTCCTGTCTCCCAATGTCTCTAGAGCCGGTTGTGGTCTAAGCAGGAATTCCCAAGAGCTATCAGTGTCTTCAAAGCAACGGTCGAAAACCTGAGGCCCTCAGTGAAAGTTAACCTTGTACTTGAGGCCCTCAAATCTCAAGGTTTGCAGCAGGCCAGGTAATAGCGGACTCTGAGAGACTTCTCAGGCGGAGCCCCTAATCACCGCTTGCCCCAACTGGCAGGTGGTACCACCGAGCACGAGAAGCTGTGCCGGGCCCGGGACCAGTGCCGGGAAATTCTGAAGTACGTGAATGAAGCCGTGAAGCAGACAGAGAACCAGCACCGTCTGGAGGGCTACCAGAAGCGCCTGGATACCACCTCCCTGGAGAGGGCCAGCAATCCTCTGGCAGCAGAGTTCAAGGTAGGAGGCAGGGGCTGTGGCAGAGAGAGCCCCCCAAATACATTCTTCCCTAGGAGCAGAGCTATCAGGGCTTAGAGTGCCTTAGAGGTAGACTGGGCCTGTCTGTGGTGGGGTGGCATGGCAGAGCCCTGGGATACATGCACCCTGTTACCGTGGCCACTCAGGCCCGGAGAGGTAAGAGCAGACAGCCCGCCAGTAAAGACTAGATGTTAGAACTCAGCCTGGGAGTGTGGGGAGAGGGACTTAGAACTTGAGGTAAAGGTGAACATCATTTGGGAGGAAGTAAAGCTGAAGGGATGGGCAGGTAAAGCAGAGATTTTCTTAGGAAGGTAGATGGCATGTGGTGAGAGGAGGACGAGAGACCCAAGCCAGAGCCATTGGGATGTCCCCCAGCACAGCACAGGGCACGTGAGCGCAGTTTCGCTTGTCTGTGTCCCCACGAGTGTGAGCACACGGACCCTTCTTGTTCGGTGATTCCCAGCACCTCCACACCATGTCTGGCATGTAATTCCCTCAAATACTTAATGAATGAATGGATGGTGTCCCCTAAACAGAGCCTGGATCTTACAGCGAGGAAGATGATCCATGAGGGGCCCCTGACCTGGAGGATCAGCAAGGATAAGACCCTGGGTACGTGCCGGGGGCTGCGGCCTAGGGGGAGTCTGTGGTGAGCTGGGCTGCCCCAGGCTCTTCTCTCTCCGGAGCATAAACCCTGAAACCCGGTGCTTCAAGGGCAGTGAGGTGCCCTGGAGGCAGCTTGAAACCCAAGCGGCATGAGAGCTCTGGATTCAGGCACAGTGTGGGGCAGGAGTACCAGACCCAGGGCTTCCTAGACCCCGGAGTGGACGTCGGAGAGCTTCTGGTCCCCAGGTGGGGATGAGGGACCCCTCACAGCCCCTGTACCCCTGCAGACCTGCTGGTGCTGCTACTGGAGGACCTCCTGGTGCTGCTGCAGAAACAGGACGAGAAGCTGCTGCTCAAGTGCCACAGCAAGACAGCCGCGGGCTCCTCGGACAGCAAGCAGACCTTCAGCCCCGTGCTCAAGCTCAACGCCGTGCTCGTCCGCTCCGTGGCCACAGGTGCCCGTGAGGACACTGCCGCTGGCACTAGTGTCCCTAGACTCCTTTCCTCCCCTGGGCCCAGCTGAGCAGGACACAGTCCACGATGGGGAGTGTGGCGGGGAGGGTGGGGACTGAGATGAGAGCTTGGAGCAGGCCAGCGGGCCGTGGGCCCCTGGGATGGGCTGAGGCTGCCCGAGCGGGCAACAGTAGGGCAGACCTCCCTGCTGCGAGTGACGGGTGGGCTGGTTGCAGAAGACAGGCCCCCCTGCACACAGCCATTTTGGTGAGAAGCTGCATGCGCATGAGCAAGGGCACTAGGGCAGGCATCAGGCCGCCTCCTCCTCTGGGTCTGCCCTCTTCCTGCCTCTGGAGAGAAGGGATGAGGGTGTGAAGGTGTCTCATCCCCTCAGCACCTGCCACATGTCAGCTCTCACTGTTGGCAGAGCAGGAGGGTAGCTGGAGAGGACAGGAGGGGTTCCAGAATTACCTCTCCCTTTTGTAAGTGGATCCTGACCGGTTCTGATGACCCAGGTCTGTCTCATGCTGCCCTCTGCATCTGTGTCAAGGATCAGGGCTTTGAGCCCACCCTCTGTCACCCTGGCCCAGGCTGCAGTCACGCCTCTGCCACCCCCCCGTGCAGACCCTCTGCCTTCCTTTCCTCACACAGATAAGCGGGCCTTCTTCATCATCTGCACCTCCGAGCTGGGCCCGCCCCAGATCTATGAGCTGGTGGCATTGACGTCATCAGACAAGAACATGTGAGAATTGGTTGAGGGGTCACATGTAGCTGCCATCCCATGGGCCCAGGGTGGTGTGCATGAGGACACTGGACAGTGAGGCCAGGGCAGGCAGAGGCCGGGGTGTTGGACAGGGAAGTGGGAGTTGGGATGGATGTGGGGTAGCTCACAGGGCCACCACCCCTGCCCCTGAGCAGGTCTTTGAGGGAAGGGGGAGTTCACAGCCATCCGCTGCTGCTTGCCTTTGTCTGGTGCCACTCCCTTCCCCCTGGGATCTTCTTCCCTTTCCCCATCAAGCGTTTTAAATTCGTGCATTCTTGGATGTCTGCCCCCCACCCACCCCCTGTGCCCACCAGTGGCCAGCCCGAGGTGGGTGGAGTCAGTTTCTGTTGTCATCTGTAAAATGTGGGTAATGCTACTGGAGTTATTTTAAGAGAAGACAGATATCGAATGCTTAGCACAGAGTATAAGCGAGGGTTTGTGTCCAGTAATTGGTGACTGCGAATCACGTAACTCCAGAGCTCCAGAGAAGCAGCCAGTCAGGAAATGAGGGGAGGTGGGAACCGCCAGGTGCAGAGTGGTGGGGGCAGGGCCTGGAGAAGGGCTCTGGGCGAAGCCCTGGAGCAGTGGGGTCAGCACAGGAGGTGCTGTGTGCCTGGTCTTGATCTCACCACCAGTCCTCTCTGCTCCTGCCGAGCAACAGATGGATGGAGCTCTTAGAAGAGGCTGTGCGCAAGGCCACCCGGCACCCCGGAGCCGCCCCAACACCTGTCCTTCCCCCACCCCCAGACCCCCAGGAGCCAGCCCACCAGAGCCCCACACCCAGCAGGTGCTTAGCCCTCCAGACCCCCTCGCCGTCCAGATCCAGGCCACTGGTTGGCTGCTTCTGAGCGCTTCACCCCTGGGGGTGGGCAGCCCCTGCAGACAAGTTAGCAGGCAGACAGAACATGCCCCCTCACCTGTGCCCTCTGCCCCTGTCTGCTTATCCTCAGCCAGCCCCCACCTGGCTATAAAGGAGACTGCCTGCAGTGGGGTGGGGGTGTGGGATCGGCACCCGGGTGAGCCAGGCCAGCACCGTCCTCCCCAGGTTGCCAGCCAGACGGCAGGTTCTTAAACTACCACCCCCCTTCCTGGACCCTCTTTCACTGCCCACTCTACCTCAGGAGGCTGGCATGGAGTTTAATGGCCTCTCGCCCTTGCTTGTCTCTTCCCCCAGGGTAGGACTGGATGACTCAGAAGTGTTCCGGAGTGAACCAGAACCTGGGGGGCCGCCTGGAGGTCAGCCCCTTGAACCATGTTGTGGGAATCCAGCCCGTCCATTTCTAGGCCAGGGAGGGAGGTGGGGTTGCCGACTGAGTGGCAGGGAGAGATCCGTCAAGGCCAGAGGCATATGGTTTGGTAAGACCAGAGGACAGGGCGAGGACGAAGGGCCTACCAAGAGGGGGAACAGACTCGAGAGGGGTAGACCTGAACAGTTCACCTCATTAGGACCCTGGCTGTCTGGGCCACAGCCAGTTAGCAGTGCAGGAAGAGGGGCAGTCAGTCAAAGTCCGGGAGCCCCAGCTTCCTCCAGCCAAGGGTCACTGCGGGGAGGGAGGTGCCCTCCCCTGGGCCCTGGCTTCACACTGAGCCCCACATGCCCCACCCTCTGGCCTCTGGTCTTCTTTCCTGTAGCACTCCTCACCTTCTGGTTCATTTAGAATCTTGACTTACCTCTGTTTCTCTTGTCCCTCCGCTAGAACCTAAGCTCCACACAGGAAGGGATCTTTTGTAGTTACTGATGTATGCCAAGGGCCTGGGACAGTGCCTGGCCATAGCAGGCGCTCTGCGACATGTGCGGAGTGAATCAGCAGTGTGCCCGGCCCCGTGTGCCCAAAGCCGAGCATGGGGTCAGCACGGGGTCAGCCCGCACGCGCCCTCCTCCTTCCCGCCTTGCAGCATTCTCTCCTCCCAAACAGGCCCTGGGCCCCAGCGGAGGGGCAGAGGGGAGCCTCCAGCCCTGCTAGAGGACCCCAAGCAGGAGGGCGACATAGAGGAAGGGGGACTGGGCGCCCCACCTCACCCCTCTGCATCCCTGGATGGCGAGAACAGGGGCAGCAGAACAAGGGACCCCATCATCCTGCCCCTCCCAGGCCCCCTATTCGTGGAAGGACTTGCCAGTGCAGCCCTAGAAGATGGTGAGTGCTTCGTGGGCCCTGCCATCAGTCCCTGGTCCCCAGTAGCATGGCCAGCATTGAGCTGGCAGACATCTCCACCCTCTGCCTGTTCGAAGGCTCTCTCCCAGTTATGCTTGAGGAGAGATGCGGAGAGACGAGTGTGACTCCCCGTCTCCCCACTTCCCCGCCCCCGCCCCCAGTTGGCTGGCTAGAGCCCTCCAGCTCAGCCTGTGACCCAGGCAGGTTCTCCAAGTTGGGGGACGGGGAGGCGAACAGCAACCCTCCTGCGCCTCTGGGCTCTCCCACACTGGCGCAGTGCCCAGTCCTGTGCCGGGGAAGCGAGCGTTCCGTTTCCCCGCCAGTGGAGAACCTGCGGCACCTGATCCTGTGGAGCCTGCTGCCAGGCCACCCCGTGGAGCCACCCGCTGCCAGGGAGCCCGAGGATGACCTGACACCCACGCCTTCTGTCGTCAGCATCACCTCTCACCCCTGGGATCCAGGCTCTCCGGGGCAGGCTCCCCCTGAGCGGGGAGGGGACCATCCCCAGCTCCCAGGACCAGAGCAGGAGGATGTGGCTCTGAGTTCTCTGGAACACCTGCCCCCAAGGGCCAGAAATTCTGGGATCTGGGAGTCTCCCAAGCTGGACAGGAATCCTGAGGAAGAGCCTCCAAGCACAGAGGCAGCAGGAAGTTACAAAGTTGTGAGAAAAGGTAAAATAAGTTGGGGTGTCCAATGGGGGGACAAACACCCAGTTTCACTAGGGTAGAGGCAAGGATCCCTTGACACCTGTATCCTAGAAAGTGTGTGTGCAGAGACTTGCACCGATGCTGAGAGGAGACAAGTTGGTATCACGCAGCGGCTCCAGCGGTGGACAGCAGAGGGTCAAAGCTCCAGCCCCGTCACTTAATACCTGTGCAGCCTTAGACAAAATGCTGGGTCACCTCTGAACTTCATTCTGTGTTATGAGGGTATTACCTACTGTCTGGCACAAATCAACTATTCAATAAAATTTTCTGCTAGTGTTCGTCACTCATCTTACAGTCCTCTGGAAAAGATGTGGCTCTTCTCAGGAGCCTCAGGCTTGGAAAGACGAGGGCCAATGCTTGCAGCCTGTCACTCCAGCTACAGGACAAGGGGCTGTAGGGCAAGGCTGGGAAGGCACGCAGAGAGTGAGGGCTGTGGCAGGCAAGTAGGTGGGGGATCCCCAGCTCTTGGGGGCCATGGATGGCTGCAAGACAAGAAAATCCAAGGCGGGCTGGGATGGGGGCTTGTCTGGCCAGAGAGTGGGCCAGGGGAGGGCGCCCAGGTGCTGCGGAGTGCGCGGGAGAAGGCTGGCCGAGAAGCGCTGTGGGGAGGTGAGCCGGCCCCCCGGGGCTCTCCCTTTCTTCCCAAGAGCAGTTCTCCGTCCATCTGCCCAAGGTGCTCCCTCTCCTGGGTTTCTGGGAACTGACCTTCCTTCTTCCCCCATCAGTGAACTGGTGGCATGGCTCTCTGCAGCTCCCAGGGTGTGGTCATGGATGATCCCGTGTTCACTTTGTTCTTCCCTTTCTTTTTCTCCACCCGCTGCCCTCTGCTTTCCGCCTCTCCTTCCTCCTCTCCCCCTGCCCTCTCCATCTCTCGGTCTCCGCTGTCCCTGGTGGTGGTGGTGGTGCAGCTGAGGTGGCAGGCAGCGAGGCTGTCCCTGCACAGCCGGAGAGTGGCCAGCCAGAGCCCGAGCCGCCTGACGTGGGCGGCGGAGCAGAGGCCACGGGTAATGACCTCCCCCTGGAGCCAGAGACAGGCCAGGGCTGGAGCGGGGGCCTGTGGGAGCAGAGCTGGGCTTTGGGAGCCCTGCCTGCGGTCCCATGGACACACACACCCGTACTGGGCACAGAGAAGCAGGTGGGCCTAAGGATGGGAGCAGACCCCATGCCATCCGCTTGTTGAGAGCTGCGCAGGCCCTTTTCAGAGCAGTAGGACTCAGTCAGAAGGTGGGGCGGGTGCCCAGAACCCCATGTCCTTGGCCAGACATTCTAGGCCACCACTTCTCACATGCCAGCATCACTGGAAGTAGGCTTACATCGCCGCCCAGGTTCCCCATGTTTACCTATGCCTGCTGCCCTGTCAGGGACCCTCATGTCCTTCCTGCACTGTCCCCATCCCCCTCTGATGAGTTGAGGCATCACTGGGATCACGGTGTAGATGGCAGCTGGGGAAGGGGGTGGTGGTGAAGCTCAGCAGCAGAACTTGAGATGGACAGAGTCAAGGAGGCCACTACCTACCCCTCTTCAGAAGCGACCAGAACCAGCCCACTGCCTCTTTACCTTTCCTTCAAGGAATAGGAGCCACTAGCCTGTTTCCCAGATGACACGTGTCAGCCATGCCACTTCTCCCTTAAATTCCACCGCTGAGCATCTTGCCCTGCTTTGAGCTAAGCCGAGCAGAACTGCCGTCTAGAAGGTGCTCTGCAGGAGGAGGGCTTTTAGGAGACTGGTGGGTGGTGTGAGACCAGCATGCACTGAGCTCCGCTGCAGGACAGCCTCCCTGGCCCCCTCAGTTGGCATGGGGAACCTGGAGGGGGCACGTGACAGCTTAGACTTGCCCTGAATCTCCTCCTAATCTCCCTCTCTTGCCATGGGAACAGGGAACTGCTTTTATGTCAGCATGCCGGCAGGATCCCCGGACTCAAGCACTGACCCCTCGGGGTTGCCCACCAGCCCTTCCCAGCCTGACACCCTCCCTGCCTGGCAGACAGAGCCTCTGCCCCAGCTTCAGGGAGGCAGCGAAGATCAAAGACCCCCCAGCCGCTCACCCCCACGGCTGGCCCTCAGGGACGTGGGCGCGATCTTCCGCACCATTGAGCAGCTCACCCTCAAGCTCAGCCGGCTCAAGGTGAGGGCACTGGGCTCCCTGAGAACCAGCGCTGGGGGGGGTGCCGCGTCCCATGGAAGCCCTAGAGCTTGGCCTGGCCCAGGGCTCTTGCCTTGGCCCATCCAGCCACCCGCCAGCACCGGCCCATCCCCCGGGCCCAGGGGCCTGATGAACCGCAGACATTCCCTGCGTCTCTTCCAGGACATGGAGCTGGCCCACCGAGAGCTGCTCAGGTCCCTGGGGGGAGAGTCATCTGGCGGCACCACGCCTGTGGGCAGTTTCCACACACAGGCCGCTACGTGGACCGACAGCTTCCGGACACCTCCAGCTAGGGAGCCCCTGGCCTCTGACCCCAGAGACAGCCAGGAACTGGGGTTCTGCCATGAGGAGGGTGAGTGATTCCCTCGTTGAACCCATTCTGGGGAACCAGCCAGCAAGGAAACATCGCCACAGTGTGAGGAGAGAAGAGATTTTGAGAAGGGGTCTCATTTCCCCCTTGAGTATAATTAATTCACTCCTTCAGCTTCAGAAAGGAGTCTTTTCAGGGAAACCCCACAGCAGCTCCCCTCTGAGTTTTGGGAAACTTAGAATTGAAACTTTTCTTTCCTTGGGCTGAGATAACGGACCACAGGGAGCCCAGCCCCACTTCCAAAGCCTGTTTTAGTGACTGGTTCTGAACCAGACCAAGTGGGCCAGGGACATGGCCGGGTCCTCACTCAGGGAGACAAAGGTGCAGCCCCTTCCAGGCCCTTGTCGCAGATGGATGGCCCCAGAGGAGCTGCTCTCATGAGCATGGCACGTTCCAGGAGAGACAGGAGAGGGAGGGTCATCCAAGAAGCCAGTTCCTCACTGTCTTTCATCCCTGCTTCCTCCACAGGCTCCAACATCCTCCCGGAAGACGGCATGGCAGACGCGGCCACTTCCCCAGGACCATAGCCATCCAAACCACCAAGTCCTCTGTGTGCCCGCTCCTCTGGGGACTGGCCCAAGGCAGGGGCACAGGGGAGGACTCCCTGCTATGGGAGAGGCAGTTGAGGAGCTGGATCCAGCCAAGCCCCGGGGCGGAAAGCCCCACATGTTGCTGGATCTGCTCAGATTGGAGTCAAGTTCCGGAGTCTTTCCCCTCCCTCCCGCGCCCCCATCCTGAGCATGCTGACTGCATCTGCGCCCGCCTAGAGGTGTGGGCGCCCTCAGACACATGAGGGAAAGGCGGCTTCCGTGTAAATGCACTTTCTCCCTCCCCTTCTCCACAGGCCCCAAGGCCAAGGTGGGCCGCCTCCGCCTCTCCTGTCTTTGTCACTTTGGTTTCCTATAAATATGTATGTATTATATGTGCATCTTTGGTATTGTAAATAACTTTGCCCTTTTTTGTTTCTGTTCCTGGGGTGCTGGAGGCAGTTTCGGAGGGACTGCTGAGGGAAGAGAAGGTTCCCGTGGACTGGGCTGGGGTCAGGGCCCAAGGGTAGAGCCGGGCCGAGTGCCTGGGTGGAAGGCCTCCCAGCTTCCAGCCCGCTGCCCGGCCTCTGGGGCTTGGTGCTGAGCTACCCCCTCCCTCCTAGGACTTGCCATCTTCTGGGGACCTTCCTACCTCAGTGTGCCCACCCTTCCCACCCTGTCCCTGTAGAAAACCAGTGTATCAGGTACAGAGGAAAACTGGGCGCCCGGAGGTCAGGGGTAGGGAGCTGAATGCTGGAGTCCCTGAACTGACCCAGGACCATGCCCAGGGCCAGCGCAGCATCGGCCCCTGTTACCATGTCCGCTCCGCCCCCCACTGACTAATAGAATATACACACTGTGCTAGGTGTATATATACATATATATATATATAAATATATATATAATATATAAAATACAGATATGGAAATGACTGTTTTGCTGTTAAAATAATGTATACTCTTTTATTTTCTTCCTTTCATGGTTAAGATTTTTTTTTTAAGAAAAGTTAAATATTCTTCAACTGTGATGGTGTGTGTGTGATTCTTGGAACTGCTGTTATAGAAGATGCTGTGGCTGTTCCCTAGGAGGCTGGTTAGAATAGGACAGAGGAACAGAAGGGAGCCCTCCCCCAGCGGTGTCAAGCCCCCAGGCCCAGTCTTGCCTTACTCTCTCCCAGAACCTCTGACGTGCACTCATTGACCTACAGTTGGGTGTGCCATTACCCAGCCCCATGGCCAAGACATGGAAGGACACTGAACTCACAGTTTACACACACGCACACACACACGATACAAAGGAGCAGGGGACCCAGCATCAAGGGCCCTCGTGAGCTGCCCTCCTTCAGCTTCAGGACTTTAAAGGCAAAACCTGAGGAGGAGAGTCGTCTCAGAGGCCTGGCCAGCCCCTCGCAGCCGTCAGCCCTCCCGACCCTCCCACAGGCTGTGCGCCCCCTGGACGCTGGCACAGCAGAAGCAGACACGCCCCCAGGACTGCAGCCTGCCAAAGCCCCTCCACATTTGCCTTCACTGTCGGACCAAGGGACAAATCCTTCCAGCCCCAACTTCTCTCCCTCCTAAACCTAGATGCTAGGTGCTGGCCTCAGAGCTCGTAGTCCAGCCAGGTGTCAGAACTAATACACAAGTCACTGGTGACCAAGTATGGTAAGGAAGGGATAATGGGAGAAGCCGAGGTGGCTGAAGCTCAGCAGCCAGCTGCCGAGAGGCTGAGTGGCTGTCCGGGCAGGCAGAGGCAGAGAGGCCCGGGAGAGCCACTGAGCCTCGCTGAGAAGGGAGTTCAGGGCAGGGGAGCTCGTCAAAGCAACCGAGGGAAGGAGGGGCTGGGACCAGGTCAAATGGGCCCAGAGGGGAAGAAGGGACACTTCTCTGGAAGCTCCTGTCGAGTGGGCATAGCTCCCCAGAAGCCCGCCTGGACCCTCTAGGCACTGTCCGCTGGTTATCTCAGGGGAGGTGAGGACCCAGGGCCCCCACAGCGGCTGGTGCACCTGGTTCCCAATGGACGGCGTCTGCAGCAGTGTTACCAGGATTCATGCCAAGTGCTTGCCCTGCGCTATATAGATGCAGAGAGACTCAGTGCCCTCTCCAAAGTAACTGCCCAACTCCATACATTTTCTTAAGCTGAAATGTGTATATTCTTTGCCTCTTCTGCAAACCAAACACCTGGGCAACAGTGAGAAGCAGACAGGGTGGGGGCAGCACGTGCTCCATCCCTCTACCGGACCCACTCCTCTCCCACTCTGCTTGCACGTGTCAGTTACTAACCCTAAGTCTTTCCCTTCTGCCTCTGAGACCAAAGGTTGCTGCAAACCTCAGCGTTCTCTAGGGAACACAGGGAGAGAATGACTCCGGCCCAGCAAGCAAGAACTATTCCCAGCAGGACCACAAAGCCGTTTAGCCGTTTCTGGACATGTAACAAACAAGACTCAGAGTCTAAATGTTCTGGAACAGTTTTCAGACAACCTCAAGGAAAAAAGAACAGCAATAGGATTTGTTAATGATCTGAGATCTCCCCCAGGGAGTCAGCCCACGTGTGGAGAGGCTTCTGCAGCCCAGAGCCCCTGGGAAGGAGGGAGGGGCGGGCTAGGTGGAGGGGGCCAAGGCCTCCTCCTCCCTTGGCTCGGCCTTACTGATGGGGTCCCTTGGCAGCATCAGCTCCTGGATCGTGGCATACGCAGGACATCGTGGGAAGAAGCAGTTTTTCTGAAGGAGGAAACGGAAGGCTGACAGCTGACAGAGGAAGGAAGATTAGTCCTCTGGGAGAAAAGGATTTCCTGGGATAGGTGGGTTAGGGCCTGGGGGTCCTGGAGGAAAAGCAGGGTCTGACTGCTGGTCTTGTAGAGAGAGAAACAGAGGGCATGTGATAAAGGAGACAGGAAGACAAGACTGCTTTGGAAATGGGGAGACCCAGAAGCTGCCTGTGGGCACTCACCTCCAGGGACAGCCACAGCAGCCCCACGGGGCCCTTGGACGTGCTGTTGGCTTGGGTAAACTGTGCCTGGTACTGCACTGCAGCCAGGAAGCCGTCCAGCCCCACCTCTGTGATCTGGTTTCCTGGTGGAAGGAGTGGCCCAGGGGCCTCTTACCACCGGCCCAGTTCAGCAACCCTCTCTGCCTGGCCAACCCACCCCGGGTCCTGAGCCCAGGCCCCACTCCTGCCCTGGCCCTACACCCCAGCTCCCCTCCACGTCCCTGCTGCCTCCTCTGCTGCCCCCCCAGCCTCTGTATTCTCCCACCCCCATTTCTCCCTTGAACTCCCTCTTTACTCTCATTGCCCGACTCAGGGCCTGGCTTCCCCTTGCCCCAAAGCCCCATTATGAAGTACATCTGGGGGAGCCCCAGGCCCTGCTCTGTGGAGCGGGAGGTGGGGGCCCTCATGGCCGCGTGCAGCCCAGGTAGCCTTGTGGTGGGTGGGCAGGGGTCCTGGCAAACATACGGAGAAGGTTGAGGTGCAAGAGGACTTTGTTCCCCGGCATGAAAACTTTCCCGTCCCGGTGCTCCACCGGCTCCAGGAGCGGACTGACCGTCTCCGTGGTCTCAGCTACCAGCTGCTAAAGCAGAATAAATTGCGGCAGAGGAGAGGGGAGCTGGTGAGCAGGCCTTTCATTCTTCATCCAGCATACATATTTTGAGGGCTGGCAATAGTCCAAGTTCTGTTCTAGGTGCTGGGATGCAAAGATAAATGGGCCCGTACCCTGGAGAAGCAACTTGGGGGAAGCCACAGAGGTAGCTCCGTGTGGTGTGACGGCTGGCAGAGCTAAGTCCAGAGTACCTCAGAGGGCCCAGGGGAGGGACACCGAGCCCAGTCTCTGGAGCCAGGAGGAGGTGACCTGAGCTGGAGCTCAAGTGGTATGTGGTCATTATCAGAGGGAGGCGAGGGGAAAGGTACTCCAGGCAGAGAAAACTGCAAAGGTGCAAAGGCACGCTGCATTTTACTAGGTATACTGCTATCAGCTAGAGCAACGGGGCAGGGAGCGGAGGGAGAGGACTGAAGGCGGGACGAGAAGGCACTGCCATAGTCTGGGCACATGAGCCCGGGTCAGGACAGGCAGGCAGCGACAAAGAAAGCTGGGAAGGAAAAGCAGCTCGGCCCCTTTCTCCACGTGTAAGATCTCGCCTTGGGTGCCAGAGAAGCCTCCTAAAAAGGCAGCAGGATGTTCCCTGCCTGGGTCGGGGATGAGGGGTGAGGGCGGTGGGGTTCTCCTGATGGAGGACACAGAATATAAGGGCAGAAATAGGCCCTGGGCAGCTGTCCACCAACAGCTGGAGAAGCAGGGAGGGGTGGGAGCTATGGAGTCAGTTTCCAAAGCAAACCAGTTAAAAGGGAAAAGGGAGCTCCACGGGCAAAGGAGAAAGGGCCTCAGGAGCCCTACACAGGAGCCGCGTGCAGGGTGCGAGCGGTTACCTGACTGTAGAAACACCCTGCCTTCCTGGGGGGCCGCTGAGACCGGCAGAGAATGTCCCCTGTTCCCTGCACAGCCCTACAAGCAGAGGCTGGAGGTGGTGATGGTGAACCAGTGGCCTTTGGGGAAGCAGATTGTGTTGAGGGAGCAGATCTAGAGTGTGGGCTTCTAATAAGCGGGGAAAGGTGGAAGGGGGCCTCTTCAAGCTGGAAGGGGAGGGCGAGCGTGGAGCTCTACTGCCCCCCAGGCTGCGGTTGGGTGAGGGGACCTAAGCGTGGTCAGGGCAGAGCAGACCAGGATGAAGTGACAGCAACAGAGCAGGGCTGAGGCCACACTCCCGGAGGGGTCTGGGGGAGGGCTCCTGGGGGGGCACACCCCCCACCCCACTTCTCCCGGCCTACCTCTGACTCCAGGAGGGTGCTGCGCTTCTCTCTGACCCCAGTCTTGGGCCCTTTGCCCTTGGTTGGTTTCTGCTCGGGGATGGTGACCTCTGGAGCGGGAGGGGAGCCAGCGTGCACAGTGCAGACCTCTGATAGCACCCAGGCTCCCCAGAGGAAATGGGCTCCACGATATTCGGGGTGGGATGCAACAGAAACAGAGCTGAAGGGGGCCCCCAGCTAGATGGGTGGGCTCCTTTCTGAGGGCAAGGCCATGGGGGACCAGTCCAGGGAAACAAGGTGTGGAGTCGGGGGGTCAGGACACGGGGCCGGACAGCGCTTTCAGGGGACGTAAGGCCCAGAGACGCATGACGGAAGGCTAGCTCATGCAGGCGCACGGAGGCCGAGAGGAGGCCGGCACCCTGCCCAGTGGGCTCCGTTCCCCTGCACCAAGACGGGGCCACAGGGGGCGCTAGTACTTACTCCCCTTGCTTGCTTTGAAGTCGTCTTTTTTAAGGGTTCCTTGTGCAGACAGCTGCCCAGAGCCTGACTTCTCCTCTTTCTTCACCACTTCCTGTGGAGGAGGGAAGGAGAGAGGTGGAGGCCCTTCTTCCCGGGGGACAGGGAGCAGGTGCGGGAAGGGGCCAGATTAGGACCGGGGCCTGAGGAGGGCCTTCAAAGGCCTCCTTCCCTTCACTGCCACCTGTGCCCCGGAGAGCTGCTCACTGTCCCTCCAGGGCCCCCGGCGCACCTACCCCCGGCTTCTCCTTTTTCTTGCCCAGGCCCTTAGCGGCCTTCACCACCTGCGTCTTGTCAGTCTTGTCCACCAAGGAAACACTGCTGAGCCCCCCTGTCTGGCTCTTCTCCCGGTCTGATTTGGAGTCCCCGAGCCGAGAGGTAGAAGGCTGTGCTCGCGAATGGGAGGGTATGAGGAGGAAGCCAGCACCGCTTCCCCTGTGAGGCGTAAGCGGAGGCCTCACCCCTGCGTGACAGTGCACTGGCAGCAATGCTAAAATAATCTGTTTGGGACTGCTCTCGGGTTGGGGGTGCTGTTGGGGAGAAATGGCAGAGGGACCTGGGCATGAGCTGGGGTGGGGGGGTGGGGACTCAGATTCTCACACTGGGGAAACTGTAGCAGCTAACTTAGAGAACCAAGTGACCAGCAGTGCTCCAAGTGCATGACATGAATGACCTCCTCTGGTCCTCTCAACAATACTAGGAGGCAGGTCCAGTTGTCCCCAGTTTGCAGATGAGGACACTGAGGCCAGAGAGGCTGAGTAACATGCCAAGGTCACAAGCTGTCGGGTGGAGGGGCCGGATTTCAAGTATGGACAGTGGAAATCTAGTCCTTTTTCTTAACCAATACTCTACTGCCCGTGGAGGGGTTCTGCGGATAGAGCCAAACGTTTGGGAGATCTGTGCAGGGGTCGGAAAGAAAGCCGGTGAGGACAAAGGAAGAGAGGACGGACTAGGAGGAGGCCAGCTTCGGAAAAGCAGCCGACCTTGGGCGTGGCTCCTCACCGATCGCGAGCGCTCCGGCGTCCCCTTCTCCAGCAGGAGGCGCCGGCGCTCCACCACCTCGGTATGCGTCAACTCGAAGGGGCGCAGCACCTGCGGCGAGGCAACACCTCGCGATCGGAAGCCCCGAGCCGGCGTCGCTCACCGGCCCCGCCCGGTCGGCACACCCACCTCGGCCAGCTTCAGGGCGCCCTTGTCCTGGATGCGGTTGTGCGCCAGGGACAGCCAGAGCAGGGAGCGGTTCAGCCGGAGGCCCTGCAGGAAGGGGTGCGTGAGCCGGCGGCACCCGGCGGCCAGGCCGTGGGCCTCCGCCCCGCGCACGCACGTCCGCGATGTAGCCGGCGCCCTCGTCCCCGATGTGGTTGAAGCCCAGGTTGAGCGAGACCAGGGTGCGGTTGCAGCTGTGCAGTGTGGACAGAGCCTGGCCCAGGAGCTGCGCCCCGCGGTCGTCAATGTTGTTGTTACGCAGAGACAAGTGCGCGATCCTGGGCAGCGGGAGGGAGAAGGACGGTCCACTGAGAACACGGGGTCCGGGCGTTGGGCAGAACCTTGGAGAGCAGAGCATGGGGGTGGGAGGAGGGCCATCCGGTCTGAGCCTGGGAGGGCAGGAGTTGAAGGTCCTTGGGGAAGGTGCTGGAGGGACAAGAAAGTGGGGACTAGGAATGGGGGACAGGCCCAGGGAAGGGGGCCGAGGTAAAGGGGTCTCACGTGCTCTCCGGTGCCATGAGCTTGTGATAGGACTGCTCCGGCAGCGGGTTCCCCTCCAGAGACACCTTCCTGAGGGTGGGGGAGATCTGAGAACCGGAGGCACCACTGAGGCAAGGGAAGGGTGAGGGTAGGGGGTGACAGAGAGGAAGTGTGGGTCTCCCCCCACCAGTATAGGAAATTACATGTGACAGTTCTGCAGACTAAAGCCCAGAAGTGTGGCCACGTGAAGGGGTCACTCCCAGCGTTAGTGACCTGCAGTAACACGGCCTCTAAGATGATCCCCACTTCCTGTATGTGGGCCCTTGTGTAATGCTCTCCCCTTGAGTGTGGCTGGGCCACCTGATTCACTTCTGATCAGTGAAATATGGCTAAGGGGACAGCCATCACTTCCAAGCTGAGGTTACAAAAACACTGGCTTCCCCCTTGCTGCTCGCAGGCACTCTCAGATCACCAGCTGCCACGGGTAAGGGCACCCAGACGCCTTCGGGGGGACTCCCTTGTGGAGGCACCACAGCCCATCAAGGCCATGTGAGTGAGCATGGAAGCAGATGCCCCAGCGCCAGTGGAGATGGCTGCAGCCCCGGGCAGCAGCTTTAATGCCACCTCACCAGGACCCTGAGCCAGAAGCACCCAGCAAACCTGCACCCAGACTTACCCATGGAAACAGAGAGGTCATTTGTTACACTGTAGGTAACTAACACATGACCCTGCCCCAAGGCAACTCCTGTCAATAGCGCTGAGAGAATGGAGGTCCTTTTCCAAGTAACAACAAAAATCCCACTAGCGGCTAGGAATTTCTCTATTGAAAAAATGTGTCCCGTGATTTATCATTGCTCCATCTTTCAATCTGGCTAATCTTTCATCTAAACTTGATTACTTTCTACTTCAAATATTTTTATTATGTTGCTCTGACTTACTTTTACATATGA